AGACTATCAGACACTCGTGCATGAATTTTCGCTCTGCTGCTTAAAAGTTACGTTGATGGCATAAGCATGACACTCTAAAATTGGAGGAAGTGTTCAACTTCATAAGATAGACTATCATAGCGGGACACGATTTATGCTAGCATGGATATGTCAAAAGAGTACGCGTCCAAGGGATTGTTTTCTAGTATAAGGAGCGTCGAGATTATGATGCTAAGATATCCAGAGTGACATCCCATCCAACATAATCAGACACTCGTGCATGGATTTTCGCTCTGCTGCTCATAAGGTACTTTGCTGGCCTAAGCATGACGCTCTAAAATTGGAGAAAGTGCTCAGCCTTCGTATGATAGACTCTCATAGCTGGACATGAATTATGCTAGCAACTACATGTCATCTAACAAGTGATATGAAATATGGGATTAAAAAGCTCAATCATCGTAAGCTAAAAATGGTTGATGTGGATGATACATTGCTTTTGTGCTTTTTCAAAATAGGTTCTCACATAACTCAAAGCATGTTAGGTTGGTGTACAATAGTTCCAGAATGTTCCAACGACTCAAAAGTATGAAATGACAGGCTGTGAACACAATCCCGTTTACTCTGTAGTAACAAAATGCATTGCTCTTCTCGTCATCTCTTTTTCATATACAACTTTTGCTTGAGAATGTGTTTGATCATCATGTCAAGCTACCATATGACAATATCTCTATGTGTGGGTCACGGCTGCATTTAGATTAGTTAGTGTGAGATACTCTCCTGATGAACTCATCAGGAGAGTTTATCGAGAGAATTATCCAGAGGATCATTCCTATTTTAGCTGACACAGACCACGGGTGCAAATTTCGTTGCATCAAACACCGTAATTTTACAAAGAAGAAGGTAGAAAAGAAACAAGAATTAACTCTACAGGCTTATTTCCAACAATCATGAAGGAATGAAGCCTTCCTGGTTCGCCCTCATGTCTAAATCAGACAATCGATAGAGCAGGATGGCAGTGATCAGGATCCATCAGCAACGCGAACGGTTCGACGGTGCTGTCGTCGAAGAATATATTTCAACGGAGGAATTCGTGGGCAACATGCAGCAAATTCTGACCAGCGCATCCGAATCACAATGATTGCAATTGTGCTTGAATCATTAACTTGAGGTCCATCAAGTTTTAACTTGCGCCAAAGATGCGAGTTTGAAGTATAAGAACACCTGACCAGCTCCACAAGAACAGGGTCTATTTCTTAATCGACGACACTTCCGGTGTATAGACAAGACGCTACTTACGTTTTGACTTTTACAGGGGGAGGTGGTATAGCATATTCGCGGGATCCTACAGACAGAATCATCAGATCCCATTTATACAGTCCACATCTCAAGTCCTCTGTTCTTTGACCCCGATGCGACTACATCAACCGTATTCCCCTCCAGACTACTGCGCAGTTGGCTCGGCTGGTCATGCACTCCGTCGACCTCAAGCTCGCTCTCACTTTCCAATCCTCTGAAACACATTTTGCTATTTAGACAACTGAGACTTGGATTCGTTTCTTCGTCAACTGTAAGTCTTCAATTAGAGAACCATTGTTAGCCCAAACGGTGACCGGATTCTTGTCCGATCTGAGCCATATATGTTCCAGTCCGCCACGATAGAAGTTTGCACATGTCTGGAAACTTGGATCTTGCAAAGCCGTCCCACAATAAACCTCACCCTCGTAGCCAGTCACAATAGGAAACAGCAAGCAAAACAGGGTAAGGAAATTCCTCACAGCCCATATTATAGGCCTAATAAAGAGACCTTCAAAAATTGGGCATGACATGATTTCACGAGAATTTCGACCCAAACAGTGGAAAGTACTTCGAGAATACTGGTTGGACTCAAAAGCCTATGGAGATATGTGGGATTCTGCAATGTTTTACTGCATGATATGTTGGATTTGAATTTCTCTAGATGTATGAGATTGGTTGAGCTCTTTATGTAGAGAGCTCAACCAAATATGTGATACTTTGTATAAATTAAGTGCGTGTAGAATTTTCAAGTTGATGTCTGATGCTTGAAACTACTTTTACAACATTTTCATTTTAGACGATTAAAACTTGGACAATATAATGATATATATAGAATTTTCTTCTGGATAATCTACTATTTCAAACAGTTAAGCTTTTGAAGTATTTTTCATCTTCTTCATCCTTCCATCATGACTCCTCTAGAAAACAATTACAATTTTCTGTTTTTTTAAGAGGAGGCAAGATGTAGTTATTCGATGTCATCTATGAAAGACTTTCAAGGATGAGAAAAAATACTGGTATAAAAAAATTATACGTTGAATTAACGATCCTTGTTGGACCAACAACTAATGAATGAAGTCTACATATCTCTTAGGATTGAAAACGAGAAAATGGAATGTTTCAATACCATCAAGCACATGAACGTCTTTTAAATAATCATGAGAATGGTACTCATAGGAGCCCCCGAGAAGTCTCAACAACCGCAAAGGTTTTGGTGTTTGACTGCATATAGCTAAAAAAAACCAACAACTTCATACGAGATTAGAGATTCAATGGTTTTTCCTGCGTCTGTATCCCCACTTGTAGCTTAGCACCTAGAGATTTCAATCTCTGCCTGAAGTTCAAAAAAACTACTCAGCCGTAACACGATTTATGAGTGGTACCTTTATAAACATAAAAGCTTAACCCCAATAGATTTCCTAGATCATACCTTCAAAAAAAGTGAAAAAGATAAAGAACTTCAGATCTATTGCTCTTGGACTTCTTTCTCTCACTTGTGGCAGCCTTGTATTCACCGTATTAATAGAATCCTTGATTATTAAACTGAACTAATACAAAGTGCACTTTCTTTCAATTGAAGATATGATGCAATCCTCTAGATGTTCAATCTTGCGGATGCGTGTTTGTGATCAATAGCCAAAGTGCAATTTTTCAAGAAATTTGAGGGCTTTGCATCATGTAAACGTGCAAGAGGTATTGCAACTTGAAGCAAACAAGATCACACTCCTGTCTTGTGTCGTGAATTTTGCTCTCGCTCCTATCCGAAAGCTCCTCTCGTTCACTTTTTTTTTCTTTGGAGATGGATTGAGGGGTAAAAATCCTGGAATCATTGATGTGATGAACAAATCTCAATTCTCATATCAATCAAAAGATCATATGCAAAAACGAACTCATCATATCCCAGCATCTACAAGATAATTCAAACAATTGATCGACACAAAGATACTTAATTTACTCCATTGAGGTAATTAATGTTCATTAAAACACGTTGTTTATCTCAATGAGACTATCTCCATAGAATCACTAGGATACTGTACTAAAATAATAAACTTTGTGTCATAATGAGCTCTAGAGAGCTCTCTTATATAGCACATGTTATCTAGTCTAATCAAAGTTATATGAACTTGTGTAAACAATAATCTGAAATTATTTCTAACACTCCTCACTATTATCACAAACATATTTTAATTCATGTTTCTAGTTGTTAGAAATTAACTCAAGGTGTTGTTAACTTATGTTAGTGTATTTCTAGTTAGTTTGACTATAATCAGATTATTTATATATAAAAAATTTGGTCATATCTTTCATTTACACAAAGTTATACATCTTTGTGAAGTTTTTTTAACATAACATAACTGTAGCTGAGATGAATCATGTTCTTGTTCTTAATGCGAATGCATCTCTTTATTTCTACTGTCAACAATAAGTCTACATAGTTTCAAATCTAGAGAAAAGAATTGGTTATGTATATACCTCTATATTTGGTCTTGATATATATCATGTGTACAACTAATAAATTTCTTTCAAATAAAATTTATTTGTAAATTTTGTAACCAGAAAATCCTCTGTAATATCCTCTTCAGTCAAGTATGAATGTTTTGTTTAAATGAGTAGACTATAAAGCCTATTTACGATGTGAAATCTTCATACTGTAAATCTTGTCTCGTAGCAAAGAAAGTAGTAAGTTACCACACGTCTTTCTAATGGACACGGAGTACTATATCATTTACGCATGTAAAGTAAACCACATGTGAGTAAAGAAGTTGCACAGAACAAGCTTGTATGTAACAAGCTTGTCAAATCTCTTTGAAACATGTTAAAATTAAGATACACAAACATGCATGCTGAGCAAGGACAGAACCTACCAGGATGAATTTTAGATACAATAGAAGATTAAGTAGAGCTTATTGAAACTGCCGTCCATTATTTTAATCGGAGGGCAAAGAGGAAATTAAGTGTGGCAGTCAGTCATATCGTCAGTAGCAAAAGAGAATGCCCTAATGCTATGCCATAGATCGTGGAATGAATTACATCGCTGGTGGGGCACAGTTGACCAAAGTTCTGAAGCCCCGGGTAAAACTTAGAAGAAGGAGAAAACCATAGTGTTGCCATGGCCGAAACCTGGCCGAATTTACCGAAAAAGGATGCAGGGGGCAGGGCGAGCCTAGGGGCCGAAGAGAGAGAAGAGAGGTGCCTTGTAACGATCGGGTCTAAACTCGGACGTGCCTGTAGACGGGAATACAAGCGCCGGTCAAAGCTGAGCAAGACGAATCCCCGCGTAGCGAAAAGCGTGCGGGGGCCACATGAGCGCTCGCGACTCGGAAGAAAAGGACGGAGGAACCGATGGACGCCCATCCATCCGGGGCACGGGACCATGGGTCTGGGTCCGCCTGTCGTCAGAGAAACACACGCCGCTAGGCGCCGAGATGCAGGCGATGGATGCATGGATGCATGGGGCATGGGGCATGGGGCATCGCATTTCATGTGATGAAAGGAAATGAGGGAAGATGAGGTGAGATGAGACGAAATGCAATTCAGGAAACTATGAAAATGGCAAATTGCGAGGGAGGCAGGGAGAGAGGGAGGGAGAGGAGGGAGAGGAGAGGGACGAGGAATGAGTGGACAAGTTGGGCCTGAGTGCAGAGGGGCCGGCGGCGCAATAGGAGGTAAAATGAAGTAAATAGAAGGGCGATGGGAATCGAAAAGTCCACGATGCCGTTTGGATCCGAAATGATGCGAGGCCGATGCCGAGCTCCAGAACGATCGCAGCACGATGGGCGGCTGTAGACCACTGTTCGGTCGACTACACGCAGTCGCGGAATCGTCAGAGCGACGACATTCAAGCATAATCGACCGCTGTACTTTGGCATGGTGCACTAAAGGCCGGGGGCTAAACAACAAAATTCTGATCGGGGATAGCTGCTATAGTTTCTCTTCCCTGGATCTGGAGGAGGAGGAGGAGGAGTCCGGTCCGAGGAAGAGCTTGAATTGTGAAAGTCCGCACAGAGCGAATAATGGCGCTCTGGCTAAGATTGATATAAGCCTTGCGAGCGTGGAGGGCCTTCTTGTGTCTCTCGAGACGGGATCATTCGGTTGTGGTAATGGTACAAGTTGCTCGCAGTCTCGAAATCTGATTCATCTGGAAAGAGTCTCAACAGACGGACTACATTCCCTCAAGGCACCACTCAAGCCCAGCCTGGTAGTCAGTTAGACAGTTAGTTAGTCAGTCAGTCAGTCATTCAGCGATTCCGGCGTGAGCCACAACCATCAGTACAAGAAGTGTCTGAAGGTGCAGATTCCAAGATTGATCGCTTCACAGACCGAGTACTCGTTAGTATCTAGATTGGGAAGCTCAACGCCAACGAATTGGGTCCGTGCACAGGATTCAGATTAGCTGCATCGATTTCTGGGCTCAACCTGGAACTAGTTGTTGTGTTGGTGGTCGGGACTCGCTCAGGCTCATCAAGCCTGCAGCTGGAAGAACACGCAGTCTGTTTGTTGCTCTCAGCAAGAGGCATGCCATGTACAATCTTCCGTTTGTTTGAGATTGTTTTCAGACTGGATCCGATGTGGGCCAGGGAACAATGTCATATGCGGAACTCAGAGATTGAACTGTAAATTACTGATGACAGTCGAGCCGTCATAGTTGAATGACACAAAACGCTCAAGAGGAGATTGAGGAGATTGAGGAGGTTGAGGAGGTTGACAGTAACGATCTTTTCAGATTCTCCAGCTTCAATCAGATCTCATCCAGCGTTCAGCAGTCGTCCTACAGCATCAATTTCAGCGAAGGAAGCAAAAGTTTCCCCGGAAGAGTCATCACTGTCAGAAGGACTGTCTGTCAGGTGCTGGAGGAGATTTCCATAATGGAAGCGAATTCGGAGAAACCCAGCAAGTCCGCGGTAATGATACTAGTACTCGACTGAAATTCACAACTCGCTCATGGGACACAATGCAGTAGGCGTCGAGGATTCAGATGGCTATTACAGGGCTCCCAGTACATTTCTCATTTCCTCGGCTGGCATGTTACGAGCTCCAACATTTGCATTCCTTGCTCGAACAAAAGCTAGCGCTGAAGATGTGATAATTAAACCTGGGTATCTGCGTGCATGTAGGTCCAGAAGGCCGGTCAGTTTGGAGGACGTATTCTGAAGAGCCTCTTCGACAGTTCGCCGGCGGAGGTTGTCTTCAGTGAGAGCAAAAAGGCGAAGGAGGCCAAGGAGGCCAAGGAGCGGGAGCTAAAACTGGTACATTCCTCGTAACCTTTCAATCTAACAGACCACATTATTATTACGGCCAGCGGGAACCATCAAAATCATTGCAACAAATATTAGAGCGAGACAAGTCATGATTCTTTGATTGCATTATTTACCCTACAATTTATTTCGACCTGTGAAGTACATTGTCCAGATGAGAGGAACTTTAGTCAGCATGGATCAAAGGTGGTGAAATGTGACGTTTATTCTGAGATAGTGTGATGCATATGCACTAGTGGGCATATACACGGAGGTTTCAGTAATGTTAAGTCGCATATGAATCAAAGAGACCTGTCACACCACCTTCATAGCTTTCGAGTCCTCAAGTATACATGGCAGTGATCGATATGCTATTCTGATGTATCTAGTGCGGTCACGTTCATAGTTCTCACTCTCCAATTTTCTCATTCAATTATATGGATTTTAGGATCCTTGAGCTGACCATCTTGCCATGAATCTGCCAGGCGAATGCGAAGAGTTCGAGCAGCAAATCCTCTTCGAGTTCAGGGTCTGGAGGTAAACCTTACACCATAGCAAGTGTTTCTCCTCCACCTCGAAAACCGGCGGTGCCTGTAGAATGTAAGTTCCGCACGATGTGTACAATGTTGGAATCCACCCCTGTAAGAATGTGCAGCCATTCAGGCAGTAATAGATATAGACTCGAAGCTAGTCCGTGAGCTCGATAGACTTGGACATTCAACTCACTACCTGTTTTGCTGTGATTTCCATAAGACTAGCCCCAGTAACTCTTCTGATAGATTGCTAACTACCCTTCTAAGCAATGAGAAGAGCACGTGTGTTCGTGTCTGATGATGAGTGCTTGTATATATGCAGTTGGTGGGTATGAGGAGCCCTTGTGCTCTCCATTGTACCCAGTACCCCGTAAGAACAACCCGCGGCAGATTAATTACACTGAGCATGACAATTTCATAACCCCCGGGATAAGGGCGTATCCGAAACCCCGAGAAAGCCCTGCCATGTACTCAAAGTACTCGTTGGAAAAGGAATCCCCGGGCCGATCGAGCCGGACAACCAGCACCGAGACAAGTACGCACTCGGTAAATCTTGAGTCCGAATTCGACCTATCCACTGATTCTACTGGAGATAGGACATCCAGACGAGAAAAGGAGAGGAACCAACAGGCGCTGATTGACCGTCTCCATGCTGAGGCTCTAAAAATGAAGCTTGAAAAAGCTGAGGAGGAAATGCAGAAGTTACGGATGGAGGTACATTCTCAGGCTGATCCTGAAACTCCAACTCAGGTTTAGTTTCTATCTCGTAACACATGTTCATTCTCTTCTCGTTTAGGATGAAGCTGCTGACTTGTAACAAAAAGCCCTTGGATCTATTTCCTCATGAAGACCAGCCTCTTGGTTTCATTCCCAAATCATGATGGCAGCAACCTCAACTACCACCATCACCTGACTTAAGATTGATCATTTTATAGAAGATCAGTCTCCCCTTGCCCTTTATCGGGGATCGTTTCGGATTGAGATAAGACATCTATACTAATATTGTGCTTTCCTCAAACTCTGTATGTCATGAACACAGTTGGACGTATATCGATCCGAGAACAACAGCAACACACAATCCTCAGTTGACGGTGAACGTCGTGGCATCAGCCGAATCAATTCACTTGATGACGGGGGCTCCTACGGTGGTCGCCAACAGCAACAGCAACAACAAGAGTACAATGCGTCATATGGATCCAGGCCCGAAATCGCACCCCTTAGGTTTGTACTTTCGATTCCAACTGCATTTACAGCTATCCAAGGCGTTTGAGTCTTGACATCAGCTGCAAGCTACAGGCTTTGATTTCATGGGCACCGAGCATGTCGATCTAATTGCAAGTCTTGTGGAGGATTTGGACAGCGTTCACTAAGTGAGGATTTTTCTCTCGTCCAGGTCTACTCTTTTTGTGGCCGACGAAGAGGACGGAAAGGCGCAACAGCATGACATCATCGATCGCGACATCGGATCTAATCATTGGGTGGACTATCAACCGGAGCTGGAGATCCTAAATGAGCCTCCGATGCAGGTCGATAATGCGTGGAGGTCGGCGCAGATGTACACATTCCTACAAGATGCTGCGGCTGTGAACACTGTCAGCGGTCCTACTGGCACCCAGAAACAAGATAGGTCTGAGAAGAAAATCGCCTTCTCCGTTCAGAAAGTAGAGCAACAATCGAGAACTCACTCCAGATCTGTGTCCAGAGTCGAGAGCCCTTCGAATCTTCAACAAGAGCAGCAGCGATACTCTCAGCTGAGAAATCAGTCCGGGTCAGAAGGGAGTCTGACTTCTCTCCAGATTCAACATCAACAGATTCAGCAGTCTAGACGCGAAAGTCCTTCTTCGATGCAACAGCACATGTCTCGATCGGAAGAGAGTCTGTCTTCTCTGCAAATTCAGCATCAACAGATTCTGCAGTCCAGACGGGAAAGTCCCACGTCAATGCAACAGCTCAATTCTCGATCAGAGGAGAGTCTGTCATCTCTGCAAATTCAGCATCAACAGATTCAGCAGTCCAGACGCGGAAGCCCCGCCTCAATGCAGCAGCAGCAGCAGCAAATGCACAGCGTGGAACGGACCCAATCGGTCGAAACGTTGTCGTCCACAGCCCAGCAGCAAAGACATGTCATCCAGCGAACCAAATCCACGGAGAGTAATACGTCCAGCAAAAGCAACCCCTCTCCGAGAGGTAGTAGCATCGCTTCGCGCACCAGGAACACCACCATCGCCGAGCGCATTAGCCGAACCCACAACGTACAGCAGCCCATGTCTCCTCCTCAATCCGACTTCCTTCGACAGCAGCAACCGCCGCAGTCAGAGCCATTTCAGTATCGACAGCAGCCACAGGCCGAGCTGGAATTCGACCGTCGACAGCCTCAGCAACCGGAGCAGTTGCACTATCGACAGAATCAGCAGCAGCATCAGCATCAGCAGCAGCAGCCGTCCGTGTCGACTCCTCAGCAGCAGTATTCCGATTATCAGCGGCTCCCTCAACCCGAACTTCCCCAGCGACAGCAACAGTCAGCACCTCAGCAAGAATATCGCCAGCAGCAGCAGTCACATCCGATGTTGATGACGCAGCCGCTCGAAAATTTCAGACAGCCACAGCCCCAGCCCACAGAGCAGTACAGAGAGCTGCAACAACAGAATTCCTTCTCTCTGCAGCCTCTGCAACCCGAGCAACAAAGACAGCAGCCGCAGTCGGAGCCACGGGACGAGCCAGGGCACCACCGTTCCAAGAGCCTCACCTTCCCAACCATGCCCCAACTCTCTCTCGACATAAAGCCATCTTTCGACCTGGACGACGCCTCCTCTTCTCCTCTGCAGCTCTCTCCTACATCCTCCGGTCTCATCACACCGACCAGCATGGCTCCTCCGACAGTGTTCCAAAGCGATGCAGAGCGGGCAGCGTACCAACATCAAAAGACCATGGAGAAGCTGTACAATGCGCGCCGCAACCGAGAGGCCATCCTGCTCAACAACAGATCCCGACCTGTCACTGGCGGATACAGTTAGTTCTTTCACAAACTCATAATCTGATTCAGATGAACACGACACGAGGTTTTTTCGATGAAACACACTCGGCAGCCTTATTAACACACGACGGGGGGTTAACCCCTGGTTCACCCTTAGCTCACTACAACAACATAATACGGTTTTGGACGGTACAATTTAGTGAACCTCTTATTTTCTTTCTAGGGACTTTGTTTGTAAATATCACGATCTATCATTTTTCTCGTTATGGTGTAAAGATGTAGTTGATTATGTAACATTGCAGGGAAGTCTACCATCGTGGCTTGAAACATTTTCTCCATTTTGGCTGGAAGGAAGGTGTTGATAGATTGCTGGTTACCTAGACTTTCATACGAAGGATTCTAGATGAATCCAATCTTTGTACGAATTTCTTCCAAGAAGATATAAATCAGTGCTATATCCTTCTTCTGCGCACATTGTCTGAGTGCCCTGTAATCATCACTTAATACTTGAATCTTGTCACAGACTCGTGTGTTAGCGTAATATGAGAATGTCCAACCACAATTCAGGTCTGTGTGAATGTCAAAGTTGTGACAGTCTGGACTCATATGGCCATTTAAGCCCATACACCATCACTACCTGAAACAAGCATTTGAATGGCTCGCTTTAGGTATTGAGTGAGTGTCTAAAGTGCCATAGAGGTCTCAAATCTATGGAATGATAGAAGTGAGGATAAAAATCACAAAAATACAGTTGTTCTATTTATTCTGTAGTTCTGGCTGTATACAGTGAACATTTTTCAATAGCCATACCATATTTGTAAACTGTGGAGATTCAACTGATAACTCAGAATAATCAATCAGTGCCAAACATCCAGTGAAGCACATTAACCTTCGGAGCTGATTTCATAATCTTTACTCGTATGCTGCAACTTACATAGTGGGATTCTGTCCCGTTGAAAGTAATATCGAAATAATTCCCGTCGAGACATTTTCTAGATCATTCCTCCCCACGTGGCTTATTGAACCACATCAGAATTACATATTTCCTTTGCACGACCATGACACTTCCCACCGTTGAAACCGCTTGCTTTTGATGTTTTTTCCCAATCAGATAGGCATGTGGGATATTCAGGATATGGATGTTTCCCATATGTTCAGACACACCAAGAAAGACATCTTACCATCATGATGTACATCCTGTGTATGTCTCGATCCAAAACCTATTTCTCCAACATAAAAACTTGGTGTAGCATTCACACCCATTTCCACCTAGAGCAAATTTTCTTCCTAGCAGACCTCCGCTTCTTGAGTATGTTTGTGGTATGATGTGGCAGCATAGAGGACTTCGATTCCGAAGTCTGCAGTGATCCAACCCCAGCAAAGGAGATTCTTCGTGGTCTCATAGACCTGTGGCGCTTGGGTATCATCGTGTCTATTAAATGACTGAGCGGGGAATGTTTACGATTTGTATCAGGAGTTGCTGTTAATTCCCTATTGTTCGGAGACTTTGTAACTGAATCCATGTTGGGATTATCGTATTTCTCGGGGGCAATTTGTAAGGGCCCATGGGAATCTATGCTCAAAGACTCGGGATCAGTCTCAAATTCAATATGTTCTTTATTTTCAGAACACTTGCCATGGTCAAGAGAATCAGTGACAAGGTCTGGAAAAAAAACTTGTCCATTATTTGCATTGACTGGATAACCATACAGCTCGTCAGCACTTTTCAGGGCGGCTTTCACTTTCTGCATTGCAGCCACAGCAGACTTGTGGGAAGCCTTCGCTTCGAGCATTTTCACATAAGCCCTTTCGTTCAATAACCACATTTCTTTCACTGAATCCAATAGAGTCTCCTTCTGAATCGACTCTTCTGCACATCCAAATCCACAACAAGAACGCAAGAACCCAGTGACAGTTAGTAACTTGTCTGCATTGATAAGCTGGAAGGCCTGTACGTGTGCGCATTTCAATAATGACTTGACATATCTTGTTTCGTGATACAGACTGAAATTGTTCAGATAACTCTACCAAGACTAGTCTTGGCTGTTCAAACTATGTATGACTTCATCACTTGGTTACCGGATATGAGAGATGTGAGCATATAACTAGTTAGGGTTCATCCATTGGTGTGTCCGTTAAAGATATCTTTGATAAATCATGAGTGCTAATCCTGGTGTATCTCAGATAACTTACACACTCGTGGCAGGAACCGTTTAGGTTTGGATCCGAGGTTTAAATGTGCAAAAAAATGTATAAGCTCGGAAGAGGTGAAAATTGCAGAAGCAAAGCAGTCGGAAGTCAAAAGCAGTCACTGAGGCACATCTATGTTGTAAGTGAGATTGTGGTTTTTGCACGGCGTTCTTCGTCTTTGAATGGTTTAACTCGAACTCACATTGGCTGCATATGTTTATTGCATGCCCAGTGCTTTTGGAAGCTAAATGCAAGTTAACGTTGAAAAGATGTTCATAAAATCACCATCTGTCCCGTCCTAATGTCACTCACACCTGGGTCCTCAAAGAAGAACCTTATTCTCAATGTGAGCTACTGACACAGATGTAAGTGCAAGAAGGGAAAGCAAAAGTTGCGGATTTTGAAAGCGCTTCTTACAGTAATTCTCACCCTCCAAACAATTCTTACCTAAAGATGTACCTCTGGAAATACTCCCGCATTTTTCCATCTCCAAATTTTCTCAAATGGTCTCTGAGGAAATGACACCCTTCTTGCATCCAATCATTACATGCCGTGTGGTTGTCACGTTTAGACTCAAGATCGAGAACTATGAGTTGACAGCACTAGTTAACATCTCTCTATAACACCCGACTCTTAGTCTGGTCGAAACGTTAATGTTCTTAAGTGAGATCAGAACTGCTCTGAATATTGTGAGTTGGAACGCAACCTCTACTGAACATCATGAAACTGAAACAGCTGAATCTTAAATATCATCTCGTCAGCCTTTAGTAGGTATAACAGAGCTCTATGTTAATTTACTCTTTACTTCACGGTTCTTCTTGTATTTAGTGGGATTCATCGCAGTCCGGGACATTCCAATCCCAGCAAACTTGTATAAGATACTAAATTCGCATAACTGACTCAGATATGGGCTTAGTCAGCTGCCAACTTGCAACATCCGGGGCTCAAGCAACAGGGACCGTGGCGCGCCACTTGATAAGCCAGATGCAAACTGATACTGGCCGTTCGTACTAAATTACTGTTTCGAAAGTCAAGGTTCTCTAAGTAACGTTCTAGGCTTTGATGTTATATTGTTCACAAAGAATCGTGCATTTCAATTGGATATTTTTCAGGCATCAGATATTCAAGTCCATTATTCTTGATGATATTAGAACAGAAAATGATACTAGAATCTGGGTACAATACTGCACGTCGAGAACACTGTAAATTTCAAGCAAGATCTACAGCTTAAGCTACATTGCAGGCGATGATCGGCTTTTTATATCACCTAGATAAGTATCTAATATGATCATGAGATCACCGGGAAAATTTCATGTTCACGGTGGAAGCACTATTGCAATAAAAAAATATATCAAGTTGTCAACTTCGTAAGGCTCCAAGAGTCAACAGCATCGCGATCGGACTGAGGTAACCTAAAATGTAAACTCCACAGAGTGCACTAAGAGCAACAGAGCAGAACACCCACAGCCTCTACTCCGTCGCGATCTCTGGATTTCTGTGAACACGAATATTTTTAATATCAAGAAAGGAAGGGGGAAATCGGATACGATTTTGCGCAGTTTTAAGAAAGTCTATGAGAAAAGAGAAGAGAAAATGCTGGAATTATAAAAGATGGTCGCGCCGTAGAGTGGCCTTGATGAAGCTCGCTGTTCTCAAGACAAAAACTTTATCTTAGAGAACATCGCGCCAGCACAAGAAGACTCTCTCCAGGTAAGACACCCACTGGACTCACACACATCCGCGCAACATTACTAACGTTCGTAACGTATGGCGCTGAACTGCGAAAGGCGCGTTCAATTTCGTCAGAAATTCAAAGCTGGGCGCTTGTGGCAACGTTCGCGTCGACTTGCCGGTAGACTGCATGGCATCCTCTCTTTGATTCGGAGATGTTCGTTCATGTGTTTAGAGTCCCACAGACCACAAACTCCCTTGAATCAAGAACTACTACATGTCTTTACGCATTACGGTGGGTAAAAGAATCCTGTCAGTCCGATGATTCTTATCCTCTCGCTTTTGAGAGACGCACTTGTCGTGAGCTGCATGTCCACTGAATCCAGTCCCAGGATCTTGTACTCACGTTGGAATCGACTGTAATCCTCGTGGAACTGCGTCCGGACATAGATACAACCAGCTTAGCAGCTAGATATGGAACAAGAGGTGTCAGAGTCGTGGAATGTTCCTCGGGCTTTAGCAAGTTATCACGGGAATCGCAGGTCTCTTATCGGCTCGGAGGAGTGGTCTTTGGTGGGAATCGGGATCCTCGTGATACTATTCGAGATCCTTTGGACCATCTTTGTTGTTGCAACTATCCTGGTCATTCTCTATTTTTCGGGTATATGGAGTGGAACTTTCAAGTGGCCATGGACCGGGAGCACGGACTCTCGGAATTCACTTGTTGACCCTAGCGTTTCCGTCGCAATCTCAACCCAGCTGAACAACAGTGCTGAAAATTTCAGACATCATTCCCGAGCTTCACAGGACGAATCTGGTGTTTATAGTAAGACTTTCATATCTTTTAATTAGGATTCCAAACTGAGATTTCTTTCTTGATTTACTTTGCATTTACGTTCAGTCCCTTGTGGCCAGCAAATTGAAGCATTGACAGGTCTATGCTCGGATCGTCTAATGTTTGTACCTGCAATGAATTTTCCAGGCTCAACAAGCGAACAGCCTTCTCTAGGCGAACGCTGCCCGTCATATGGACCTCGAATCCAAAGAACTCTCACGTTTCCAGATTTGTTGGCGCAATCGGACATCGAACTTGAGTATTATAACTTCGACAATGTTGACTGGTACTTATCCATATCATACCTTACTGTGACGGTGCATGTTCATTTAAAGCTGTGATTAGTAAGGAAAGTCTATCGTTCTTCTCCATCGTCCACATCTTTTTCGGCAGTAATTGCAATTTCCTTCTATATGCCCACCGGGCAAGGTTTCAGTCATAGCATGCAAGGTTGAAACTCGGGCTCCATTCTGAAGAAAGATGTATAGATGAAGTTGCAGTATTAGCGGGCTCATCAGCAGATGTGAGTGTAATCTCCGAATTTGCTTTACAATAGGACGGTACGGGGATTTTTCCCATCGAACCTCGCCATTCGTTCTACACGTAACATAATTGATTCCTGAATTGTGGCCATTATTAATTGATAGGTTCGCCAAGCATCTGCAAAATCAAAGACTAGCCTTAGCAGGAAAGGACTTCGCAATCCGAGAATCAAAAACAGACTGAGGTCCTGGTTGAGCTGTCCGAACCGGACGTGTCACTTATCGAATGGTTTCATCACGCAGGCACCAACACACGAATGAACCATCAAGTGCAAACAGGAGAGAAAATGAGATAGAGTTCTGCTCTTGATCACAAATCCAGACTAACGACCGTAGCGAACAGGAACTACCATCAGTACGACACAAAGGAAGACCGCACCTGTGTTTACGATCAAGTATTATCGCATATCCATCAAGTGGCAGTGGTTCCAAGTGGTAGGAGGCAGAGCTGCAATCTCATATTTAAAGCGAGCTCACTGTCAAACTTCCCTCTACATCGTCTGATACAATTGGGTGATTGAACAATCAGTAGTTGAAGGAGTTTCTTGACAGGAGTAGATTGACTCTCTGCAAACAAGATTACTTGAAGCAACGTATACACAACCCAACAATGTATCTGAATTGATATTAAAATTCATTTCTTCTTTTGATGAAATTCACCATTTTTGGTTTATCAATGAGATTTCTTTTATTCAATCAGGTGCCTACTCTAAATGTTCATTTGTCACTGTTCTTCCATCACACTACAAAATCCCAATCTGACATTCAAAGTTTTCTTTGTTTTTAAGGGATCACAAGAAGGTGTCAACCTTCCAACAGATTTCTCTTCGGTAGAATGTTTTCCATATTTCCTCTTTACCCGCTTGGTTTCATCCATGTACCTTTTGATGAGGTCTTCTCATTCTTTTCGCTAATTTCCTGGGCCCCTTCCCTTTCGAAGTTAATGTGAGAAACGACAGAAATATCTAATACAATAAGAAATTTCCTGCACAACTCATCGCAAACAATTTAATGAATGCCCCATCATATGTGTCGTTTCCACATGATGTTTTCCCTTTACACCCACAACTAGAGTAGGGCAATCTAGTGGAGACTGGATTTGGATATTTAACACGTCATTCACCTGACACCTACCTGACAAATCAGCAGTCTTCTTGACAATTTCCAGATCGATCCTCGTGTCAAAGCTGGAAACTTACGTTCCATCGCGACCGTAGGCTAATTCTCAAGACTTCGTGGTCAAACGCCAGATGAATTACAGTACAGTAACTGGTGAATGGCCCCCAACATTCACCTCTTCTGAGCACAATGAGCTTGCAACTGTAGTCTGTAATGATAGCATCTCGTTTACTGCTGAGTGACGCTGGGTGCATAATTCCGGTGCACAACCGCAACTTCAAGGTCACTGGGTGCGGAAATATTTTCAAACATTGAACTAACGATCACAATTACTTCGTGAAGTTTTCTTTTGGGCTCTTCCCACGGGCTCCAATTTCACCAGGGTTGTCTCGACGTCCCGGCGTTGACCGTGTTCATTCATTGCAAATGTTGTTATTTTCACATTGCTCTTCAACTTTCTCGTGCTGGAAATGTTAAAGGCTGATTGATGTCAAGAAGTCAACGGAGTGAATGAATAACTCATGTACATCTCTTTTCAATAATTGTTCTATGGTTTAGCTTTATCATACAATGATCGAACAGTGCATGATGAATTGGAAGGATTTTTTTCTTTTCATCACAATGTGGATGCATGAAATCAAAAACAATTGAGCAATCCATAAAACAAGCAATTTTATTCTCATAAAACAATTGTTTTTCAAAGCAGATATGCGTTTTCACCTGCATAGAATCCAAAATACTCATGATGTCAAAATCAATAAAGTTTCCAGAAGTTGTCTGTATGTATTTTGTGTATGAAATCAGAACAATTGTACATGCTCAAGTAGAAAATCTTACCGAGAATGCTCTTTAAACTAACATCAATAACACGAACTTAGTTATCTATTTGTAATTTTTTCAAGATATTGTCACGACAACTTATGAAGGCTATAAAGTACTAACGAAATATATATTTTTGCATGAAAGTTTGATTTATGTCTAATATTATGATCTCATATTTCAAATTTTTGCATTAATATATAGATGGACTTCATTTATTTATATAAACATAATTCTAAAGTCCAAAAATCTTTTGTTCTATATCTATCACAAAATTTCAACGTGGCACATTTCAAAGACTGAAGCATATGTTACATCACGATTATAATATTTTTTCAAGTAAATAACGTATGCACAATCACATATGTCATGAATCTTGTTCATGATCATTTCCATTGGTATTATTTCCATATGCAATTTTTTTTTTAAAAAGCAGAAGCTAGAAAGAGATATGAGGTACGTTTTTTATTATAAATATTAAGAATTGATCTACTATGAAATATTTTTTGGATGTTGAAAATATATATATATATATATATAAACATATGTATTATCCAACAAGAAAATAGTTTTAGCAACTGATATGTAAATGTATATGAAATTGATGAGTAAAAATAAGTGTAAATCAATTGATGATAACATAAATGTACATATCATCATAATTACATTTTGGTGATATAAAAAATTGACTCAAGATACATGTGTTGAATAACTTCAATAAAACATACAATAACTAGTTATTGATGTTGCAATCTCAAACGAATTGTGCTTTAAATAAATAAATTTTAATATGTTTAAACTTTGCTAGTCAAATTATTAGATATCAACAATAAATAGTTGTGATAGGACAGAGAGGAAAATGTGAAATTCTGCTCATAATTAATACAATTATAGAAGGCAATAGCATATATGTACCAAGTAGAAATTATTGATTCTTTGTACTTTCATTTAAACTATAATAGTAATTTCAACATTATGATTTCAAAAAACCATAGTCAATTTAAAGAGCAATTCAATGATGGATGCTCATTAAATTGCTCGATATGGAATGATGGAAGCTACTTTGGACTAGACTATAGCAGGATAAATAATATAAAAAAAATTCTATTGAAAAGTGATGACTATTTTACTTACTGCGCGACTGTAGAACCAAATGAGTGAATAATTGTAGAAAGAAGCAAAACAATCGAACTTTTTCAGTTATTTTTTGGAGACAATATTTTGATGGATAATATGATAGTAACTAAATTTTGGCCTAGGAAAGAATTGATTGGTGAGACTTCAACCACATGACAACAAACACAAAGTGTTTTATATCTACGTAAACAGATATTAATTTTGGATTCTGTAAGGAATAGAATCTCAGGAGCTCATTTTAGAGTATCCTAGCGCAAAAGTTGAATGGAGAGCATTGAGTGGAATCATACGAACCTGACAAAAGCATTGTTGTATCTAATTACTTGACGTATAAAAGAAATTTGTGATTGACAAACTTTCAGGAGATACCCAACTTTTGAAATGAGGAAACCGAGTGGATCCAACACCCGACAACTGGACTGTACAACTAATCCAAGATCTTCAATTTGACACTCTCATCTGAGCAATCCAAACTTTACGTTTATATAGCAGAGCCCAAAATTGGGTGCCCATACCCACACATATGGGTTTTGGGTGACCTTAATTTTCCATGGGTGGGCACAAGTAATGCTAAGGACAGTGTTTGTCAAGATCCAACCAAAAATTCGTGTAATTTGAATACCATGGGTGGCACAGGTAAAGCTATAGGTGGGCATAGGTCGGTGCCGATGGTTATGGTCTGGGTGCAGATATGAAGTTAAATGCCGGACTCTGGTACATTGTAAACATCACACCGATCGATCGGGCTTTCACGAAACGTCAAGTACAGAGCCACCGTGCTGCGAAAAAGTTCTGTGCGGTGAGCGAGGATCGAACACGCGACCTTCAGATCTTCAGTCTGACGCTCTCCCAACTGAGCTACCCCCGCCTAGAGTTTCCGTAACCGGGACTCGAACCCGGGTCGCCTGGGTGAAAGCCAGGTATCCTAACCATCTAGACTATTACGGATTGATATCAGTCACAGCGATATATTTGGTATTATAATCTGACATACTTCTGGATAGCCCGAAAATTTCAATACACATCACATGACGTCAGTCCTTCAAACTTTGTCCCAATGTTACTTTAAGCGCCTCCTTCTCGGTGAGATCAAAGTCTGGAGTCTTGGAGAGGGAGAAAAGAACAACATCAATTGAAGAACACAATATTTACACAACCGGCAATTCAGTTTAGAATTCAACCGTCACTATATAGAATTTATGAATAGAATTGAGAAAATATCGTCATCTACTTTAAAGAAGTTACAGAAAAATTTTGCTGCATATATATTCCTGAAGATCACAATAAAGATAAGGGTTCAAAATAAATAAAATTTAAATAAAATATACTGATTTTTCTGGTTGTTAAACAAAATAAAAGTAATTATGGTAATTTTCAAAGCGTATGGAAAAATAATTTCAAATCTATGTAATCCCAGGCCAGAGACTCCGCGTTCCGAGAGAACTTGCCTTCCACATGATCCCGGCGGTCCTCTGCTAAAGCCCCCAGCTCCATCTCATGGATACCCAGATGTGAGATGGCGCAGCAGAAGCACCTCGTATTGTTTCCGTGTGGAACCTGGCGGGGTTTTTAGTTCCTCAATCAGCGTGGACACGATCAATATATTTTAGAAAATAAAAAATCTTTATATTTTCTTTGCAATAAAAATTTTTTTAAAGTGCACAATGTAAATGACTTATGTTATTGTGATATGTCGATTAGAATATTTCATATATCAAGAATGTATAAGAAAAAAAATATTTTTGTTGGTAAACAACAAATGTATAAATTGGTCCAAGGACCAAACATAATTTTGATTGATAGTACAAACTTATAAGCTTGTATTTTTATATTTATTATTATAAATAATTTACATGTATGTTTGAATTTTACTTTTTCTTGCATGAGTTTATCAAGTATAGTTGCAACATACATATTCATGTATTTGTGATAGTTAAAACGAATAGACTGATTTGATATTTTAAACCAAAAAAGATCAACATGAAGGAAATTATTTGCGGAAGGAAGAGAAGAGGAAAGTATGGTTTTACATCAGTGACATATTTGTTTTTATCGATAGGCATACTTGGAAGATGAATATTAATAAGCTATTGTAGTTTGTTTTTACAAGTTTTTTAATCATTTGGATTTTATGTGGACATGATGTAAAGTTACGGATGTGGTCGAACTAACTCTTCATGTGGAACTCATTTCTCATTATATGTGTAATTAAATTTTGTCTTGGATATAGTCTCAGATTTGAAATATTAAGCGCAGGACAAATGTCCCATGTGAGGTTTATCTTTGGACTTAAGATAGTAGCTATCTGTTGGGCATAATATATACTTTGACTAAAATTGTTTGATATCGAGTTCTTACATATGCAAGAGGGTATAAGCAACTACTGGTTCATCATGAATAAAACCTAATGTTGCAATTAGAGCATTCAGTCCATTATGTGCAGCGATTATAGTATTAAGTACTAAGAACATTGGGGTGTGCTACCACTTTACTCCTGAGAAATATTTACTATAAGTATATAATTCAAAATCAAAACTTTGGTTTTCAACGAGATGTACATGATTCAAATTAGCGCAAATTACGAGTAGACAAGTATCAAACTTCAATGAATGTGCCCTTGGTCAATGATGAGTTGTGTTGATTATTTTCTATAATTATTCTTACTTTTAGCCATTCCATGTAAGACAGTAAAATATTAAGGCTTGCTAACATATATTGGGGCATTTAGACGTTGTCAAGTTTATTTATCCTAGAATGTGTGTCTCCTTTTGATTTTTTGTCGTCAACTTGTAGTGAAACAAGTCAATGAACTGATGACTAATTTTTCTTTCTCTTGTATGCGTCAAATTGGTAAATGGTAAATTAATTCTCTTCTAGATTATTGTGTTAGTATATTTCTTATACATCTTTTCTTTAATCAAGTCTTGTAAACCGACGTTATTAGAAACAGTTATATTAAGAAGATATATAATATATTGAATGAATGAATTTGAATAAATAACTAAGTAATAATTTACTTATCAGTCGTATATATATATTGTCAATACGCACATTCATAACATTTGAGCTGGTGAAAAAATAATAATCTAATATAAAAAAAATAAATATGAGGGAAAATTTATTTCGAAATTTTTTTTTCTTTAGATAATATATGATATATCTATTGGCTGATATTTATTTCAATTCATAAATATATTTTTAACAAAAATTAAAATTCAATCTCAAATATCGAAATGGTTTTATGAAATTTATCTATATTTATGAGATTAAAAAGTATAACGGAATAACGAGAGATAAATACCCTAAAACCATTGATAATCTTGCTTTTATTCAATTGCAAGTGTATAAATCCTACACTGCAGAAGTGACTATTTTTCTAGAGAAAGGATAAACAAAAAATGCATTGTGTCATACGTTCCAGGTTATCATTTTCTTCTGCTGCAAATGTCAGTTAAAAAAAATACCATCCTATGCTAATAAGTACGAAAGATTGTTCTTCAGTTTATAAAGGATCTGAAGAACAATCTTTCTTTTTGTATCTTTGAGATATTGGACTGACCTATCAACAGCATGGAACAAGATATGACGTCAATGGGAGGGAAATATTGAGCTTCAATAACTAACGATGATGTGTAGAACGGTTTTAGAGACAATTAACAGGAATGTCAAATCTCGGGGAATCAATCACAGTCAACAATCAGTGGGGGTCAATAATCCTCTTACACCTTACGTATAATAAGAATGCCGGAGTTTCTTCACACTAATCTGATGTGAGCCACCAGTACTTTGCATATGTATATTTACACAATATTCTGTCGACGCTTAGAACTGCATTGTTTCGGACCATGGAACTTGGTCGTCCAGACTGGCGTATTTCACATGGACCACAGTTATGCGGTCCAACCGCGGTGGGGATGGAGACCACGTCGTTATTACGTAGAAAGACGCACCCTCGAGGTTTAAGACAGATGCGGCTTCCGTTTCTGCTTCTGCACACGGACTCCAATCGAGGGTTTAAGGGCAGGCCAAGGAGCAAAGGTGCCGGAGTCTTGTCGGATTCGGTGACGGGTACCGAAATCTTCCTGAGACTCGACGGCAGTTGCATCGTTATCTGAAAACGATCCTCTCATTGCGTGGAGCGGAGCAGGCGGACTGGGCTCGGCTCGACTCGAGGAGCAGAGTTAGCGTTTTCTGGCACGAATTGCAATTCTCGGCACTTCCTCTGCAGCTGCGCATGCGGTACTGTCTTAAGACGAGGTTCTGATTCGTCTTTCGCCCGCATTTGGCCTCTTCCGTTCTTCGTTTTGGGCTGATGGGTTGCGGTCAAGGCTTGGCAATTCAAATTGTTTCGTCTCGAGGGTAGAGGAATTGTGCTGCGTGCACCGGAGCGGAGCAGAGGATTGCTATGAATCTGTCTCACGTCTTGAGGTTTGGTTCCTCTTTGAGCTCACTGTCATCACGCAGGACTTTGGAGCAAGGGTGCAGTCGGGACGTAGCAGCTCGCAGGCAGGCCGTGGGTTTACGCATCAATTGTAGAGGTTCTGATGGGGAGTCTCGTCGCGGTGCCGGAGACGATAGAAGAAGCCTGAATGGCGTGAGTGATCGCCCGAGGTATCCCAGGGGTGGGGATGGAGGTTACAGGAGCTCGGAAGGATCACGGGGAAATTACAGAGGGGGCTCGGGTGGACGATATGGTGGCTCTGATTCTAAAAACTACAGAGGTGGTGACTATGGGAGGTATAAAGGCCCAGGTGGTGGTCATGGAAGGGGTAGGGATAGGAAGAAACAAATGCATCCTGGGGCTTATTCGATGGTTGATGAACAGACTGGAGAAAAGGTTATAGTTTGGGGCGTGGAAACAGATGATGATATCCCCGTTCCCACTGCTGAAGACTTGCATTGGAGAAAGACAGTTTTGGCCATTCCTGGTGACGCCAGTGATGACACCTGGGCTAAAGTCATGGAAGATTCAGGGTCTAACGATTCTTACAGCGTCAAGGGTGTCCCGCAGGGAGGTGAGATTTTGGTTTGTGGTGGATAATGCCAGCCCCCACGGCTGGGAACTCCACCTATACTCTCCGTATCGAGCAATTTGGTCTTTTTCTAGAATGTAAAGCTAGTTCGGAAGAGCTTGAACTGTATCCTGACTGCATTTCGGGCGAAGACTTGCAAATTAGTGCCAACACAGCACAATATGATGAGATTTCTCATAGGCCCATGTGTTGACTCTTTTGATTCTGTAATCTAAAATTCTCATCTTGCAGGTAGAGACTGGATTGATGATTTATACGAAGATGACGTAGACGATGACGATGACGAAGATGATGAGGTCTTTGATGAATATGAAAGCGAGTCGGATGTTGGGGAAGAAGAGATAGAAAGAGTAGAAAGTAGGAAGGTTGCTAGACCTGCTAGACTGAAAGTGTTTGGTCGTGATGTAAGAGGGAAATCTCTGCTGAAAGTCCAGACGTCCAGTACAGAGATTAATGGGACTTCCTCAGTGCCGGCTGTGAATGGAGTTAAAATTGGGGTTGATACTAGAACTGAAGTTGATACTGAGGCCAAAGACACAGATTCAAAGTTAATCTCGAAGTTGGGGGACACTGACAAGTTCGAATTGGTCGTGAGCGACCCGGAAGAAATAGATCGTAGTGAAGATCCGCTAGTGACAGAAACTACAGGTAGCTTGGAAACTGCGCACGAGGTAGAGGCGAGCACAGCTGTAAGTTACACTGATAATTCTCCAACTGTTGTTAACGAATCTGCGGAAAGCAGGGTTGGAGAAGATCCACTTTACGAGCGAGTCGTCAGCAATGAACACTCCCAAGTTGAGGCTGCTGCAAAATCTCAGCTCTTGGAGGAACTCCCAGCAGTACAGGGTACACCTTCCGACGGTAGAAAGAAGCTCCAAAAGGGACTGGCGAGCACAAAAGGTGATGAAGACGAGGAGGCTGTCCTTGATAAGCCAGCATCTGGTAGAAGTAGGGTGCTGAAAACTCAGAGTAGTCAGGCAGATACTCATGCAAGTGAAGCGTACGAAGCTCCGTCAACGTCCTCTGAAGAATATGCAGAGAGGCGGACTAGAGCTCCCAAGAATGAAAGGAATCCTGCTCCAGGAGAGTATTACATCATCGACGTTACTGACGATGATGATGGCGGCTCCAGAAAGAAAAAATATGACGAAGCGAAGGAAGGGAGGAAAGTTGGCCTGCTTGATCAACTACGGCTTCAAGCTACTGGAAAAAAGCCAATGTCGAAGGAAAGTGCTGAGGATGACGAATCCAACAAGACGTCAGAGGCACAAAGGGAGCCTTGGCAGAGCGCAGACGCAGGGCCTCTTCCGATGACACCAATGCGAGACATGAAAGCTCGGGATAATTATGACGCTTCCATAGCAGATGACTTCTTCAGTCAAAAGTCTTTCCGTGAAGTAGGAGCCACTGTTGAACTTACTCGGGCTCTTGCTTACCTTCAGGTTGAAAAGCCATCTCAAATTCAGGTAATTACTTGAAAGACTTCCAGTGGGTCTGCTCGAAGTTTTTTTTTTCCATTTTCTGTATATTGAACTGTGCTTCCATCAGTGGGTTGGGGTTATACTCAATGGATTATACTCTAGCGACTGCAGTTTTGATTATAACGTGGTTCCTGGTAACTTAATCGTTGACGTCTTGTTTAGGCACTATCATTCACGCCCATTTTACAAGGGAAGAGCTGTATCATCGCCGAACAGACAGGATCAGGGAAGACTATTGCGTATGTGGCTCCTCTGGTTCAGCGCCTAAAAGCTGATGAAGCTGCGGGCATGGGTAAGGCCTTGTCAAAGAAGCCTCGAGTTTTGGTGCTGGTTCCCACTAGCGAGCTTGCCGCGCAGGTTGGTTTCTCGAAAACCTTTTGTCCTTGAAGGGTTTAGGGTTTAGGGTTGCAGCTACTCTCTTAAAAAGAGTAGCTTTAAAGACAGAACGTTCATACATCGAAGCACTTATTCTTCGACTGAGTTGCAGCGGGATATAATTATGTGCATTATACCAAAGGCCAAACTGCTTTAGCTGTAGGTGTCTTATATGTGTAATCCTCCAGCGACACGTAATCTTAATAACTCCTTGGTTATTGAATATTGTTTGAAAGGTCACAACGTACACAGGATGCAAGAAAATGTACATGCTCCTGTTTTTGGAAGAAGAAGAAGACTCTTTACTTCCTGTGCTCTCTCTTTGCTCGTCAAGTTTTCTGAAGACGAATCGTCCAAATAGAAGTAGCCTATTGTGTGTACGTTACTGATCTACGTATATTCTGTAAGCAGGTTCTCAAAACATTCAGAGCATTATCCAAAGGAGGAGTGCCAACCAGGTCGATTGTTTTAACTGGCGGATTCAAGTGGAAAACTCAAGTTGAAAGTTTAGAGCAAGGTGCAGATATCGTGATTGCCACACCTGGACGGCTTCTTCAGCATCTAGAGGCCGGGAATATCAAGTTTGACCACTTAAAGAGGTTTGTCTACGAATGAGCCGGCATAAACCGTTCTGTATTACTTGTCTAAAGCTTTTCATGGCCTTTTCTGTCTAGTCTAGAATCTGCCTCTTCAACACAATACTACTGAGTTTTCTCGGTTTTAGCTGCCCTTCTCACCATTTAAGTTGCCATGAGATTAGTCTCGCATATAATTAAGAAGAATATATAGCCTGCTAAATGTAGGAGTAAGATAGAAGGACGAAGCCGGTCCGTTCGATCACCATGATTGACATCCCTGTCAAATCAATGGGGTGGAAGCTCGCTTATTGTTATGTTCCAATGCGCTTAACTTCATGTTTTCTTTTCTTCGTTTGATGGAACGAAGTCTTCAGTTGGATTGGTGGATTAAGATGTGACAGTGGACAGATTTAATAATAATCTGCGCAATGTGTGCACATCGTCCCGCAGTGTGGTATTTGACGAAGTAGATATACTTTTCGACGATGAGGACTTTTCTCAGGCTTTACAGACCATCAATAAAGCTGCCTCCATTAAAGTGCAGTACGTGCATGTAACAGCAACTCTTCCTGTTGATGTACATGACGACCTTTTGGAGAGATATCCCGACTGTCTTTCTGTGATGGGCCCGAGTCTTCATCGGACGGCACCGGGCTTGCAAGAGGTTGGTTTGAGTTGACGTTTTGGTTCATGTGTTTGTTTCTCTTCTAAAGAGTGCTTCTCGAGTTTTAGAACTCTTTCTGATTTGAGTGTTGGCTCCGTTTTACAGATTCTAGTTGATTGCAGTGGAGGAGACGCTGATGAAAAAACTCCAGAGAGCGCATTTGTTAACAAACGGACAGCATTATTGCAATTGGTGAATGACAAACCTGCTACGAAAACCATTGTATTTTGTAATAAGGTAAGACATGTCTACCCGATCATGTCACATCTCACCCTTACTACATAACGGCAAAGACCTCTGAGTGTAAACCTCCTTTTTCCGTACCACCAATTCACTCGAGATTAATTTCAATTTCTGTGTTTCAATTTGTTCTCTACAATCCTTCTGAGCATATTTTGAACTATTCCTAGCTTGATAAAGTTTTCTCTAGGCGACTTGTGAAAATTGACTTACGAGATTTACTTATGTATTCTTGTGCTTTTCTATCAATCTTCTCTTCTCCAAACGATCTCCCTTCCAAGTTTCTCTGTCTTGTACTTGCAGATCGAGACATGTAGGAAAGTCGAAAACATTCTCACTCGGTATGATAGAACTGGAAAGAAGATTCAAGTCCTTCCTTATCATGCGGCCCTCTCTCAAGAAGCTCGACTAGAGACCTTGGAAACCTTCATGGCACCAAACCCGAAGGAGAGATTGTTTCTGGTCTGCACTGACAGGTATTGAATGCATCTTTTCAAATTTTGTGAACTTTTTCGGGAATAGGAAAAATGAGATAGGAAATAACGAGGAATTACTGCATGTGGTATTAACGCCTTGTATGTATGTATCGCTGTGCGAACAACGACTGGCTCTCGGTATGCCAGTTTCTTGAGTTTCATTAAAGCTTAGAGAGGTACTCGCAGTATTTGTGGACTAAATTGTACACAGCCTTTGAAACCCAAGCTGCGTGTGAAATTCTTTAAGCTCACCCATCATGCGAAAGAACCTAGGAAACTTATTCTTGTTTTTAAAACTCGAAATGGTTAATATGGTGTATATCATACATGCATAAGCTATCTTTTACTGCCCATGGCTGTGCTCCAGTTAAAGATACAATCTGAGAGCTAACGACTTCGTGATGTCCCACAGAGCATCGAGAGGTATAGATTCTTTGGATGTAGAGCATGTCGTGCTCTTCGATTTTCCTCGAGACCCAAGCGAGTATGTGAGGCGAATTGGAAGAACCGCCCGAGGAGCAGGTGGAACAGGAAAGGTCTTCGTGTTCGTAGTAGGCAAGCAAGTATCAGCAGCAAGAAGAATAATGGATCGAAACGATAAAGGATATCCCATACACGATGTTCCCGGTGAAAAGTATTATTACTCCAATTAGAAATATGTTGATAAATCTATCATAATAAAAATCATTCAAAGTTCATATTGGGTCGTCTTTCATCTCAGCGGTCTTGTTTTGAAGTCACTGGTTTATTCTAAGTGATGTCTTAGCCTCGATTCTCAGCGTCAGAGTTCGTCTTCCTCTCAGTCTTCGTCCTTGGGTGAAGTCAACGAGAAGACGTTCACGACCTATCGGGTCCCAAGAAGAAGTTGTCGAGGACTTTTGGAGTCAGACACATAAACTGCTTGCGGCCTCAGCATTAGCTGGACTGAGCCCTTGACGGTGATGAGGAATAATTCCTAAAAATTTCAGCCCAGAACACCTTCTATGTGTTTTTATTGTTTGTTGACTGTTGAAATCACAATAAACTGCGGCCTGGTTACGGCAATATTATAAGCAGTGCACGATACAGCTTTGCACACATAAACTGGAAGCCAAACCAACTCTAGAAGGAGGGTCCAGTCTTGATGACAGGCTGATAAAAGTCATTGACATCAGGAATATATTCTTTCTTATGAGTAACATTTTCTAACGTGCCATGAATAACAACTCGAACAATTGAAGATGATTTCCGAGTTATGAACTTGAAGAAACCATTGACTTCTTTTGAAGTATCTCACCCTAGAAGCACTGTCGAGCTCGAGAGCTTTCCAATGGCCTCAGCTCTGCGCCGATGGTGGAACCTCAAGCCACATCGAGAAAGACCTGTAGATGATACTCTTTACCTTGGTAGTTCTGCCCGAAAAGACCAGGTCTAGAGACTTCCGTCATCCAGTAGCTCAGGGCCTGATTAGAAAATCATGGAAGGCACTTTCCAATGAGAGAAGATCACTCTATCCTCCTCACAGGAAAGCATCGCACCTTCCAATCTACGAACAGCACTGAAGGGCACTGTAAACAACAAATCTCTGGAAAGCGAGATGGAAGCAGACGAAAAGGATCGACACATTGCTCATGCCGGTGGCTTCAGGCCTCCATTCAACCTGCAGGAGACTTTCGTACAAGATGTCGAAATCGGCGAGTCACGGCCTACTCCATATAAGTTCCGAGATATCTGGTGCCCCTAGCGTCTGGTGGATTTCTCGAAAGAGGTGCCACCTGGCAGCCATTCGGAGGCTAATGCCACGCTGGCGAGTGCTCGGAACTTCGACATGCTGCCTGCCCTGGACTCAGGAAGATTCTAAATCTTCGCTCCTCGCCTCAGTCGGGACAGACGCTATGCCACGACGGACGTCGATGCTGAGAACTCGATCTGCCCTGTCAGCCTGCATTGCTAGCCTACGTGGTACAGCCGAGGTGAATGAGATTCTCCAAGCCCAGTCCGATTCGACGAGCACGCCAATCGGACGACGAGAGACTGAAGACACGGGATCTCGGCGAGAGGACTAAAAGGTGGGCGGTCCGGTCCCCCTTCCCACTTTGCGCAATCATGCACATGCTGTGGACGTGACGTGCGAGCCCGCCTGGCCCCGACGCGTGGCAGATCTACCTGTCAGAACTCCTCCTCCCCTCCCCTTCCCTTCTTCGCTCTGCTCCTCTGCGCCTTTAGAACATTCCCAAGGGAGACAAAATAGTCTCGGCCTTGTTTTCGGTCCCTTTTTTCGCGAAATATGCGAAATTGCTCTTCGACATTTCGGCCGGCGAGACGACTGCGTCGAAGGGATCAACGGTCTCTCGAGTCCGGTCCTCCATCGGACGGCGACCACCGTCGCGTCCGCATGAGGCCCTCCGATGAGAGTGTTGACACCTCGACGACAGAGAGGACAAAGGCAGCGCGGAAAAGGAAGAAGAAAGATAAAGAGAAATGATAAAATGAATTAATCGAAGCCGCAATCGAAGGCCAGGCGAGGAATTCGGCAGAGCTTAAAAGGCGAAGCACGGGCAGAGGGCCGGGCAGCGGGCAGGGCAGGAAAGGAAAGGAGAAGGCGATGAACCGCGCGCTTGCAAGAGAGCGAGCGAGGCGCGGGGAGCGGGGAGCGGGGCCGAGCGTCGAGTCGGGAAGGCGGGAGAGAGCGCTAGCAGAGCATTCGGGCGAACGTTGAGGACGAGGAGGACCCGGAGCCGCGGGCCGCGCGTATATAAAAGGCGGGGCGACGGGGTACGAGCTCGGGGGCGGGCCTGGACTCGGGAGTCGGATCGAGGAAATTGGAAGAAGGTGGTGCGTGCCGAGCTCGTCGTGGGCACGGGACGCGAGCGAGTGGAGTGAGCTTGGATTTGTGATTTGTGATTTGATCGAGGAAGCGGAGGAAGGGAAGAAAAGGGAAGGGAAGGGAAAAGAGGCGGGATGCAGCTGCGGAGGAGAAAGCAGGATGGCGGGGGAGACCAGAAATCTCCGACCGGGGACGAGGCGTCGTCGGCCGAGAATCAGGAGCGTGGATGGGACGAATCGGAGGAGAAGGAGAAGCACAAGAAGTCCGGGGGCGAAACGGAAAAGAAGCACGGGGAGGCTCACAAGCATCAATCTCATCAAAATCAATCGTCTTCCCATGGGGGTAAACAGGCGCACTCTGATAGTAACAAGCCCGACAAGCCGGACAAACACGAAAAGCCTCAGCATAAGCTCGAGAAAAAGCCTCCCTCCCCTGCCAAACTGCGACCGACGAGATGGCGCTGTGTGGATAATTGTTGTTGGTTGATCGGCTATGTCTGCGTGTGCTGGTGGATGCTCTTAGCTCTGTATAATGCGCTGCCAACGCTGCCCCAGTATGTGACGGAGAAAATTACCGGCCCCGCTCCGGATCCACCCGGTGTCAAGCTCGCTAAGGAGGGGTTGCTTGCCAAGCACCCTGTGGTCTTCGTTCCCGGGATTGTCACCGGTGGTCTCGAGCTCTGGCAGGGCAAGCCTTGCGCGGATGGCCTTTTCCGCAAGCGCCTGTGGGGAGGCACCTTTGGCGAGGTTTACAAAAGGTTCAAGCCTTTTTCTCTGCGGTGAATTTGTTCTTTGTCTTGCAATGATGATCATCTCCGATTCTAGTGTCCCCCTGCATGATTCTCCCGTTGCAAAGATCCAAATTGTGAATTTGAGAAGGTCTTCTTTCCTCATTTCCCCCGTTTGCTGTAGCCATTTGTCGCTCTTCGATTGGGCACTTTTAATTTCCCCACAGAGGATGGAATGTGAGTTGTGTTGATTCCTTCATGTTGACGTTCCCAGTTTGTTGCTGTTGATGAGAATTGATGAACTCGCTGATTAGCCAGAAAAGAGGATCTCGTCCGAGCTTCTTGAAGGTCTTTGTTCGGAGGGGCAATTTTCCCAGCTTTAGAGATCAGTTGTTCAGTAAATTGGCTGCCCTTTTGGTCCCCGGCTCGAAAGAGCTGGGTACTTGCAGAATATCTGATACTGTGCAGTGGGCTTATTTCTGGAATATTTCACCTTGCTCGCAGGCCATATTGCTGGATGGAACATATGTCTCTTGACAACGAAACAGGATTAGATTTGCCTGGTATGAGGGTCCGGGCAGTCTCAGGCCTGGTCGCTGCTGACTATTTTGCTCCCGGATACTTCGTCTGGGCCGTTTTGATTGAGAATCTAGCCCGCATTGGCTATGAAGAACGGAACATGTACATGGCTGCTTACGACTGGCGCCTCTCCTTTCAAAACACCGAGGTAAGAAGAGCACAATACTTCCTGAAATGCTTGTTTGCTTCGAAGCAGGATGACCTCTTGAGGACTGAAGAATCATTTCATTCCTTACGGTTTTGCTATAGAGCTGAATGCACTGGGGATTGCAGGTTAGGGACAAGACATTGACCAAGTTGAAGAATACAATCGAGACTTTGTACGAGACGAATGATAACAATAAAGTGGTGGTAGTGCCTCATTCCATGGGGGCTCTTTACTTCCTGCATTTCATGAAATGGGTTGAAGCTCCGAAGCCTATGGGTGGAGGTGGAGGTGATCAGTGGTGCGCAAAATACCTCAAAGCAGTCATGAATATTGGAGGGCCATTTCTAGGCGTTTCCAAAAGCTTCACGGGGTTGTTCTCTGCTGAGGCCAAAGATATTGCTGTCGCAAGGTGAGCAAAAACCACGACTGTGACTCAGGATTATGACCCGTGCACGTGAAGTTCTGGACTGTAGCTAAACTTTCCGACTTTACTCTAATACTAGTAAGACATAGTGATTGTGTCTCGTCGAAAATAAGTGGGGTATACTCTCTTTCGAAGATTCACACTTTTTGAATATGAAGCCAATCCGTTCTGCATTTTATGGGATTGTTAGAGAATTGTCAGTTCAATTTTCTTCAGTGCAGACAGAAATTCGCATTGGAAAAGCATTGCGTTTGACCTAGTCAAAAGATACCACTAATGCGTGCGAAATACCAATGCACGTGATTTTTAACGGAAGCCTCCATAACTCTGTCTGTAAAGTTCAGGAGTGTCACCAATTATTAGCTTATCGCTTATGCACCCAAAGTTATTTTTATCGTTTATAGGCTGTTTCCTAAGATCCTAAATCTTAGTACTCTTGAGAGGTAGTGCACTGCCGACAATAGTCTGTGTCGCAATGGTGACAACGTTACGAACACTGTTTATCTGAGTAGCACACTGGAAGTGATTGAATCGTGATTGAATGATGGAACGCATGAAAGCCACACTGGGTAGATACTAGGGTCATGAAGAATACTGATTCGACCCCAGAGCAAGATACACAACAATTTTCTCTTAACTTGTCTCGGTTTTGTTTTTTCTTCAGAGCAATTGCACCCGGTGTGCTGGACTCAGAACTATTTGGCCTGCAAACTTTGCAACACATTATGCGAGTGACCAGAACTTGGGATGCGGCCATGTCAATGCTGCCAAAAGGAGGAGAGAAAGTCTGGGGTAATGCAGACTGGTCACCAGAAGAAGGTTACGATTGTTCGAAGGGTAAACGACTTGAGAGATCACTTGATAACGACACCGATAGCACACTTGGTCCACATGGGAAGCCTTACGCACATTACGGGCGGTTGGTCTCCTTCGGCTTAGATTCTGCTCAAAAACCTTCTTCCGTTGTGAGGGAGGTTCAGGAGGAGTGTGCGGTGAGCATTCTCCACGAATGCATTGAATGGCGGTTTTGGTTATCTTATGTCCTTTTTTACTTTGTACGTCCTGCATATCCCTGTATGTGGGTATGCAGGACGAAGTTTTCCAAGCGTTTTGCTCTTGGAATACATCTCTCTTCATATACACGCGCATCTTCTCCAGTAGTGTTCACGTCTACTTCACGTCTACTTCACGTCATCATCACTTTCTCTTCACCACGTAGTGTAGGGTACAAAGCATGAGATTCTCTATTTTACTCATCCTCTGTGGAACATGAAATAATAAGCGGACAGGTGAACATTTCACTTCTCTTTATCAACTGTTAGCTGATGTAAAAGTGTCCTGTGTTGGTTTCAGGCGAACACATCTTCTACTTCACCCGTGCGAAGTAATGTTACTTGTGGGGAGGTCTGGACAGAGTATCACGAGATGACCTGGGATGATCTTGAAAGTATACCTAAGGAAGGATACTACACTGCCAGCAGTGTTATCGATCTACTGCGGAAGGTTGCCCCTAATATGATGCGGCGAGCCGACGCGAATTGGGCTTTTGGCCTCGCTGAAAATCCAAGTGATCCCAAGTATAATCATCATAAGTACTGGGCTAACCCTTTTGAAACGACGTAAGTATTCTGTCTATGCAGATCGTTGTCGTCAAGCTTTTAAATATCGTCGAGTATCTTGACCTGGGCTTTAAAACTCTATATAACGTCGTAAATAGAAGACGCTTTTTAATCCATTCGCTTTCATACTCATCACATTTTCGTGACTAATGTCAGATTACCAAATGCTCCGGATATGGAGGTCTACTGCATGTATGGAGTCGGCATTTTAACGGAGAGATCTTACATCTACAAGTTGTCACCGAGTTCTGACAGCTGCTACATTCCCTTCCGCATTGACACGAGTGCGGAAGGAGAAAGCGAAGGGTGCTTGAAAGGAGGTGTACATTTTATTGACGGAGATGAGACTGTACCAGCATTGAGTGCAGGTTACATGTGCCAAAAAGGCTGGAGGGGAAAGACGCGGTACAATCCTTACGGCTCGCAAACGTACGTGAAAGAATACAATCACGCACCTCCGGCAAACCTTTTGGAGGGCCGTGGCACGCAGAGTGGATCGCACGTGGACATCATGGGTAACTTTGCGTTGATAGAAGATGTGATGAGAGTGGCAGCAGGGTCATCAGGTGAAGATATTGGGGGAGATCGTACCTACTCGGACATTCCGAAGTGGTCAGAACGTATAAAAGTTGAGTTGTGATTGCAATTTGATGAAAATGCTAAAAACGAAAGTCCGTTGCGAGTTGAAATTGTGGTAGTAGTTGGAAGAGCACGTAGTTGTAAGTGTCGGAGTGTCGAGATATCTGTTGATAAATGTCCACATCCTTTTGTCCCTTGATTCAAACTCATGTAGATAGTCGAGATGACGAGGTTGGTGATGTCGGAGATGGTATCAGAAACAGCAGAGAGCGTGTACAATCTGGAAGTTGCATGTTGAGATATTTTCGGACAGGAAATGACACTTGAGAAGTGCAGGGTTCAGAAACCTCCCATCGCTGCTAGAAATAGAGGTGTAGTGTACTGAGGCAGTAGTTGTACAGGACGTCGTTCAAAGAGATGCCATATATGAAGCACACAATGTACAGTAATCTTTCTCATTTCACAATTGTGCAAAGTAATTGTGGCCCAGATTGGACTGGGTCCTTTGTCCGTTTATTGCTGTGAATGTGTGCATGGTGAAAGTGAAATATTTCAAAGCTAGTTCGAAGGAAGAAGGTTCACGGATTCCTGTTTCGAGAAATTTTTTTTCGTCAGGTGGTACTGTTAAAGTATTCTAGTGGTGACGAGATATCGGTTAACCAAGAGTTCTGATGGGAAATGAAGGAATCTGCTGTATAAGTGAGGTGATTGTTTCTGCGGACGCTATGAAAGGGAGAAACAAGCATGCCGCAAGGAGCTTGTGATGCTCACAGTAATGTGCACATTGCGACTTTGATGTCATCAGAAGAGAAAGGTCGACCTTGTTTTAGGCATGAAATACGCCAACATTTGCCACTATTGTTACTCTACTCATACTAATGGCCTCCGCGCCCTTGCCCTTGCAAACGTTGATGCCATGTGTTGGCTATCGAATCATAGGTCTGAAGAGTGTACCTATCGTTGAAGGTACAAAGAAAGGAAGGAAGGTAAAACCTTGTTCTACATTGTTGAAACAAATCGGGTCAAATGAGGTTGGTTTCAAATAGGATAATCCGGATCTATGTCAACCGCCATACAGACAGGAGAGTATTCCAATTAGTATAGAATGATATACAGTGTACTCGTTCACAAGTTCATAAACAACAGAAGGATTAATATCAGCATCACTTCATCACGACTCTCTGTGTTGTCGTGTTACTTACATGTAGATGTCCACGAACATATATATTTGAAGAGTCAGAGGTCGTATCCAGAAGAGGTTAGAAGTCCATGTGGCTTCAGCAGGAGTAGGGAATGCAAAAGGTGTTCCTTCGTGCACTTTAATACTCCCCCGTCGCAGACATTGACGATCTGCGTCTCGACTTCGGGCATCAGAAGGGGGTGAGAGAGAGACACTCACAGACAGAGGTGCATCAGTAATGCAGAGTTCAGACTGCATACGTGATGACGTCAGGCATCCCGTCTGAAGAGGAGGAGATAGGACGATGCGGCCTTTCGTATATCGTCATCATTACAGGCAGCTACTGGACGAGTAGAAACTTGTATAGATACGAACGAGGGTTCGGGATTCGACCGTCTGGAACACGATCTGCCACCTGCCATCTGCCATCTCACGAATCTGAACCCGAATCACGCGAGGTGGGAGTTTCAGCCCGCCGCATTTTCGTGCGCAGCGAGTGCTTAGGCTTTCCCGGGTCTCTTATTTTCAAATCTCAGCCCACCCTCCTCCTGGTCGAAAATCCTGATCCATTTCTCGCGCAATTCTCGGTAAGATAAACCTGCGGACGTAGAATCTAATGGTAGCCGACGACAAAAATAATATTCATTGCGACTCATTTCGGAGAACATTACAGCTGAGCGAGAAGACTTCCGGAATCTCCTCCAATGAGCAGCAAAAATCTGCACAGCTTAAATTGCTTCAGATATAGTCATGCGTTTGTCGTGAATATCCCCAGCTGATGTGTGCTGCGAAGTTGGCGAAGATATGACGACACAAAACACTGGGAATATCTTTACAATGATTGTAACTCGGTGCTTTTCGAGCAAAATCCTCGAACAGTTAGTTATTCAGCACATGTTCAAATCCAGACGTGAACTACGGTGGGATTTGAGACTAAGACTATGACAGTCAAGCGAAGAATCGTTGAAGTACGAGTGTGAAGCTCGAAGTTCTGACGCATTCAAAGGATCGCCTCAGCAGAGAAAAGTTGTGGCGTGCAGGAGTTTGGAACTGAGCGAGTAGCAAGTAGAAACTATTCCTTGTCCACAGCCGCCGAAGGATGACATAAAACAAAAGTGATGTACATTTTCCAACTTTCGAAGGGCATCGCATCTTCCACTGGCCGAAAGACAGTACCGGCAGTATGAAGGTACTGTGCAGATACTGACGGTAGTTTCATCCCAGGCCCCGATGCTACAGCTTCATTTATCCAGAACGCTGATTAATTATTGCTGTCGGTGGCATGGCGTTTCGTAGCCTTTTCCCTGTTTAACATTTGAACATTCGATCTATGGAAGCATCTGAATTGGTCTCATTGTAAAGCTCGCTGCTTTACAAGAAGAAGACAGACCTTCGTGTTATGTTCATCCTCCTTGATTCGGTTGCAGGCTAATTTCAATTTGGTTTAACGCCGAGTAAAAAGTAGACAAGTCCTATCGGATTCTATTTTATGCCGATCCCTTACCTCAGTTTGTCCCATAATCACTCAAGGTCCCCGACCCCTACTCTTGCGAGTCCTGACTCCACTACTCCTGAAACCTCTTTTTCTTATACGAGTCTGTTTGCTAGCTTACTCGGCTTCCCCTCAGGGTTGAATGCTGGTTGTGACCAGTAATTCACGTCCAGACATTGACAGTTTGGAGCTAGAGTGCCGGCCTGAATATTCGCTGCTCAAGAATCGTGCCGTCATGACGGCGCCAAGTACTCTCGACACTACGAAGGTCGTCATAAGTCACGTTTTCGTTTCTTCATCCGTGCACCAAATTTTCTTCGAAGTCACCCTCAAGCCAACTTGTTGAGAGGCCCGTCCTAGACTTCATCAAATTTCATGCCTCCATTCTTGATCGAGCCGTTTTCTTCGTTGCAGGACAACAATTGACAAGTAGATTTCCGTAGTATAATAAACAGTTCAAGCATAAAAGTAAAAGTCTTATATTATAACAGTTCAAGCATGTTGCGATCTCCTGCAGTATCCAGTAACTAGAGTGTCAGTCACTCGGTTCCATCCAGCCGTGCCACCCTCGGAATTGTATGTAATCGCTGGACTTAGATCGAAACCATTCAACCTCATAATCAACACTTTAGTGTAACCGTAAGACACCAAGTGCAATACATATGAACTTTGCTGGTTTGATCGTGTTCTAGACCGGGAGAGAAGAGTTCGTATTGAGCTGGAGTGAAAATACAAGTCGGTTCTAGAGGTTGATCTTGGAGTAAGTCTGAACACTATGCGGTGATTTCATGTGGAATTCCTGCTGCCACTGATGTGGCTGGTCTCTTAGTCCGGAAATGGGTGCTCTGTTGCCGATTGCTCCTCGCAAGCATTGCTGTGTGTAAAATGAGAGATGTTGTCCATGGGTTCCACGTGGTCTTTCATTCCATCTACTGGCAGCCCAGCACAGACTGCTGTGTCCATGGGGATGGTGTCAAATGTGATGATTACAATGGAGCTGTAGTTGAGGTGAGCACGGTGGTGGAGATTCCAGACCATGTGTTCACTGCCTCCGAATCAGGGAGGCCTCGATCGATCCCGTCAAAGGTTTGCAACTTCCTGGAGCTGCAGCATCTTGACCTCTACTCCTTACAGAACCCGTTTGTCGCTAAAGTACCCGCGTGCATCTGGAATACGACCCAACTGCTAAGTCTGGCCTTATATTCATTGAGCGTACAACATCAGGTGGTGAGCACGAGTGGCAAGATTTCGAGCTCGAGCTTAACAAAGCTTAGACTCGTTTGCCTAGCTTTCCAGAAATGATTCCAGAATGGGTGGGTGAGCTGTCTGAGTTGGGAGCTCTTGATGTCTCACATATTCAGGCCAATAAGCTCCCTTTCCAACTTTTTGGACGTCGAATATCGAGTCGCTTTTCATATACCAGCTTCGACTGGATTTGGAGAAAATGTGAGCTTGGGAGAGCTCTGGGCTAGAGACAATTAAAAGAAACTGCATTTATGTCCATACATGAAGTCTCTAGTCGCTGGATTTGTCGTTGAACCTTTTAGCTCTTTTCCCTCGGTCCTTGGACAATATGTCCAGCGTAACTCTACTCTTCCTCGATCAAAATTGCTTCACAGAGAGCACAATTCATACCTTCTCAGAGATCTCGTGGGACTTCAAGTGCGAAGTAATCATGAATAATGCCCTGACAGCTGTTCCCGAATTCCTTCGGTTGTGCACCATGCTGCAGGGCTTCGTTGACCTCAGTGGTAAGCTCATCAAACGTTTGACATCGCAGGAAGCAGGTTCATCGACCAGTCTATGCGCAGTGTATGCTTCTCAAAACCATCAAACACTAATCGAGTTTTCCCCTGGATCTCGGTCCATGTCCAACTGATCAGCCTCAAAGCCATCAAGTTCGTTTCAATCTTCTAAACGATCGACCTATTGTCCAAGGGGCTATTTTTTCGTTATCCTCATCTCGAATCCGCAACTAATGATTTGCAAAGTACTAAACAGAACTAAATAACTAATCCAAAGTAATGAAATAATCCAAAGCATGACCAGTTTTTTTCCGGTATAGGCATGAGATATCGATGAGATTTTGTGTGTTGATTGATAGATCTATAATCTCAACAACATGCTTTTACATGTATATAATTTTTGACTTGAATCACCATGATAAATTTATAATATCGCCACTAATCCAACATGAAGGTAGTGACACCTAATAGCCGGCTTTTATCAATTGGTGACTTTTCAAATATTCTTTGTATTTATAAACAAACACTCTAGTCCAAAAATTCAAGTCCAAACAAGTCCAAAAAATTGACTTGGGTTATCCGGCTTGGTATATAGTACAGCAATGCGAAGCTTTTCAATATTAGTCATACATTATTGATGTGATCAACAAAAAATTGACATAGTTGACAACAAAATCATCTAGAAACTTTCAAAAGACATAATTGATTTAATGTTGAAAGATGTAAGATCCATTGGTAAGATCAAGAGTCATGAAATTGTATCTAAAATATTCTTAACTAGTTTGCAAAGCTGTCTTTCATTCGTCATCTTTCTTGTTATGTCAATGTTTTACGCTACACAAAGATAAATTTTGTGCATTTTTGCTTGATCAAGTTGGTCAAAAAAGTCTTGAAATAAATGGCAATATTTTTTTGATTGTGATTTTGTTTAGTCCATGATAGTCGACAAACATTCAAATGAAATCATTTTTCTTCTAACAAATATGATGGAAGCTGTAGCATATGGTTTGAAATGTCAAAATGAAGTTTTTTGTGAGAATTCTATCAAAATAATCTTTTAATGCAACAAACTTGTTATGAGAGAGATAATGTAAAGTGTACCAAAGTAAAGTTGATCAACTTCTTGGAGTTTGATACAACAATCATAACATCAATGTTGAAGAAGTGTATTAGTGTTTTTCTTCTTAAACACGTCTCGATATTCTTCATATTTTATTGATAATTTTGTTCATTTTTCAACAAGTTGAGTAGTCAAAATTGCAAATATATTTTCAATTTTGATATCTTTTAAATTTTCAAACATCAATTATCATTGAAAATTTGAACTTTGATCTATGCAACACTAAGGTTTAGAGAGAAATTCAATAAAAATTAAAAACATGAACTCTGAAAATGAAAGATCCCAATAATAATTATACTTTTATTTATATAGCTCTCACCAACAAGTACAAGTAAATAATATCTTATTTTCACCATACATTCCATTCCTAGTGGATGGATATCGTGGCGGATAAGTTTAATAAGCTCACGGATTCCTGACGTGACGCTTCCAACTAAAACACTCAATCCTTATCTAACAAGCACACATATAGGTGACGTGACGCTATCAATTAACACACATACTCTCTACATACCAAAGGCGCGGATCATTGATGAGACAACTATGACTAGTGCACACTAAAGTATCTATATCAACATTTAGAGTAATCTCTATTTTAATCTTAACTAACTAAGGATGATTACATCCTAGTACATGATAAGTAAATGATTTTGAAATAATTTTAGCATGTCTAGACTAAATAACAAACTATGATTTGATATGTTAGCTTTCATTTTTTTCAATCTATATTGGAATTAATCTTGTCTAGCCAAGAGAGACCTAAAACAAGAAAATTAGAGGAAAAATTAATGATATTGAATACTTAAGTGTTGTTATAGAATAAAATCTAAGAAAGTTGTTTTGTGAGTGACATCTTGTGAAATCAAGGACATACTGTTGATTATTTTCATTGCCACAACTAAATCTTAGAGATTATAGAAAGATTATGATGTTTTACAAAAAATTAAAACAAATCAATTTCAAATCAATAAAACAAATAGATGTTCAAAAATCTAACAAATCTTTCACTTTTTTGCTATGTGGATGAAAATATATTTTAACCTAGATATTAAAACAACAAGAAAATTCAGATGATAAAATAACGTCTGATGACATGACAACACATGTCAATTGCACAATATCTAGTGTAGTTGACTGTTGTCAATTTTTTTCTCAATTTCCTTGTGTCTTGTTCAAAAGATTGAGTTTTACCAAAAATTATACGCTTGAGGTTTTACAATATAATTCTTTAAGCTGTGAACCTTGACTTCACAATCAAAACACAAGTGGTACTTTCAATGCAATTTTTTCTCTTCTTTGGTTAATTCCTAGCTCTTGAAGTGTCAGTTTGCATGAGCCTTGACATCAAAATGATTGAAGATGTTTGATGGGTTGGAGCTTGTAATATGTTCAATATGATTTAAAGAGCAATCATCATTATTGTCATTACTCAAATAGTTGATCATCACAGTCAATTCTAACAAACTAGTTGGTTTGAACAAGTTAAGCAACAAGGTTGAAATATCATTGCAACATTTTTAGATTAACATGGAGATGAGAGCCGTATCGTTTCAATCAAGATCACATGCAAGTTGTTGAAATATTTGCAACGTATATTGAAGTTGTATACAAACGTTTTTGCAATGATTAAATTTTTCTTGTTGTTATAAAATCTTCATTACTCTATCCAAACATCTTGTTAAATTTTGTCAAGAACTAATCAAGGTTTGTTAGAGAAAAATCTTTCTCCAATAATGACAAACACCAAATTAACGCGATTTCAATGAACAATGATGCAATGAGTTCAACTTGTGTTTGGATATGAAATACAAGTTTTATGTGATGGACAAAGTTTGTATAGTCTTCATCAAAATTTTATGGTAAGATCACTTGATGTTCTTTTGACACATGCAAAATGGATTTGCTGCAGGAGCTAGACATGGATTGGAGCACAAGCAATTTGAAATTGTTTCATGACATCTTGTAGGCTTTTATTCTTTTGTTGTAATTATTGTATCATGACAATCACGTCGTGTCACTACATGTTGGAAGTATCATACATCTTGAAGTTGATCGCTTTAAAATTTCACAAATTAATGAAGTAGTAAATCTTTGCATCGTGTAATTTTGAAATGATCACGTGGAATGAATAACTCTAACTTTTAAAGACAAGACTAGTAGTCAAGCTATTGCAACTCTATGATGCATTAGAGTAATAGATTGAAGTAATGTCTAAAGGTAAATCAAAAGAAACCAAAAATTGATAGTTTATTCATGCAAAATTCGGAATAGCGCTTGAAGTGAGAATCCTAATAGTAGTATGACTCAAAGTGAGAAAATTGGAAGAAATATTGATAGGTGAAAGAGTAGGTTGAATTGATATCCACGAGAGTGATGATCAATGTCATGAAGCTCTTTATTTATACTGCTATTAAAAAAACTTTGAAGTTAGAAAGAGTCAACTACTCCAAAGTTTGAAAGTTGACATTGATTCCGAAGTTGAAAAAGTTAGCACCACATTTGAAAGTCATGCATCAAAAAATTCAAACCAATTCAATCCGGACAAATATGGTGTCCAAATTGCACTAAAAAATGTAGACTTTCATATTTGTAAGAGTTTTGATGCCAAACTAATATCACAAAGTTGTAAAGAAATGTGATTCACTACGTAAAACGTTTTTGCAAAACTACATAATTTGAAAATTTGTATCAAAATTTCACCATAAATATTTGACTACAATAATTTTTAATCATATGTTGCTAGACTGGGCTAGAAACTTAGTGCTGCCGGTGACACTACACAATCTTTATCAGGTCACAAAATTTCAGAACAAACAAATTACATCGATTTATACTACAGTATTCAACTACTGTTTTAAGTTGAAATCTATCAACAATGGAACAAATCTCAAGCATCAAACACTTTTGTTCAATAAATTGTTGACACAATCTTAATAAAATGTCATGGAAATACTATTGAGCTTAATCGATGTTGCCCAACATTTAGCTATGCTTTTGAAAATTTGAACTTCGAATTTTTGATTAAAACAAAAGTATCAAGTAGATAATATAAAAAATCGAGTATATTTTACACCTGAAGTATCAAACCTTTATACATACTATAACCACTAGATCCATTTTGCATATGCTGTAATACTTTTAATTGTCCAAAACACGTAACATCTCCATATAATCCACTCTCAATTCCACTATCAACATGTACACCAAATCATGGAAGTTATCAAAATTTCATAATCAAATCACACTTCAACCAAGCTCATCCTGTGAATCAAGTTCAGTGCACTTACTACTCTCCACCACAGCCGCACTATCCAAGTCTCAACTTTTAAAATTGAATCCCTTGAGCTTTAGGAGTACAAAGAACACTGCGCATTAACAGCACATCCAGTGCCAACGACAGTAATCGGATGGATCGATTCTATCTGGTGTATGTAATCATACACTCGAGAATTTGTCCACTAATATTAGTACAACAGAAGTTTTGGAGAACCAGATGTTTATTGAATATCAACATCTATCTCCTACAAATCGAATTGTAGTTCAATTTAGAATCGAACTTTAATTCAATTTGCTGTATCTAACTGTAACTATCAAACGTGTTTCTATGATTGAATCTTTGACGAGAAGCAAATTTAAGTCGTTACATAAGGTGACGGCTAGATTGACAGGAGCATGGAACCTTCTACGGGCTATTCCAAGTTAACCAAAGCAATGTAACATGTAATAGCAAAGAAACATCAATTGTCTCAGCTCAAATTACAGTTCTGTCTAGATATAGGCAGTGAAGTAGGTTATGAAACCTCAATTGAAATTTCCTTGTCGTTGTATCGGATTGCTACCATTGGAATCATGGTTAAAAGTACATGATGTTTTCTATTCACATTCCGTTTACTTCTATAAGAGTTGATCGATTGTCGGGCGCATGTTTCACATAATCCACACTTGCGAGGATCGCCAAGCAAGTGCACACCATGAGGCGCTTGACGTATACGCAATTCATTCAATCATACTCCCGAACTGCCCAAAAATTGCATCCTATGCTGACTTTATTCACGTATTTGTTATTGTATACAAAGAAACTGGCCTTGTTGATGCTCTATACACAATCCTGAAACTCCTGTTCGAATGGCAAATGCCTTACGCCAGTAACTCCATACCTGTTTCGACCGCCAGGGCATCTGTGAGCATAAAAGTAGAAGTCTATCGACGGGTTCCGTAAAGAGAGGAGGTTTCAAATTTTTGGCAAATTCGATCAGCTACAAACCCAAGCTGTAAATTCCGCTGATGCATGGCAAGTAAAGGTGATGGATCACCTTTACACCAATTTTACCATCAATTTTAACAAAATTGACACTGATTCTTGAATAATCAGTTTTTGTATCCACATGGAGGCACACTTTACTCCTCGCCCTAATAAATGTCTAAGAGATGTCAATCGATTGCAACATTTCCTGCGGTCGCAATCATCTCTAAGTCCAGGAAAACTTCAACGAGCTCGAGATCCTGTAAGTCGTCACGAAATGAGCTGATAGGCACAGCGTTGGCGGGCTGAAGCATGTAGGACTGCGGATTGTTGTCAACGATGAGAACCTTCGACAATTGGCGCCCGAGGAGGGACAAATCCTTGATTATGATGCCCCTTAGCACACTGCAGGAATCCTGATAAAGCCGATGAGAAATGCGGCCGCCGGGATCAAGCACGTCGAGAACGGCATCTGCGTAACCCTTGGTGCTGGCCGTGAAAAGCACCACCTCGAACTTGCTGGCTACGGCGGCGAGAAAGTCGTCCACGCCGGGGCGTTTGAGGACAAAGAACGTCTGTCTCATTCTGCTTTTCATCTCCACCTCGATGCTGTAGTCGTAAGCGGGGCTCGGATCTAAGCTCGAGTGCACCAGAGTCTCATCCAAATCCAAGACGAGAGTCATCTTCCCTTCGTGCTCAGCTCTCATGGGAGGCAGCCGTGGAAGCACCTTCGGCATCCTCAGCCCAGACTCATCCTCCCCTAGGCACCCGCAAGAGAACATCACCTTCTTCCCACCTGCTCGAGCACACACGGCCCACTGTCATCTGCTAGACCATGGCCATGAAAAATCACAGACTACACAAATCAACTCGTTCCTGCAGCTTCCATCGAGCGAGTAGTAAGACAGAGAATAAGTATCCGTGAGAGCGGGGAGTGCGTGGGTAATCGAGGTTCAGATCATCTGACTGACGAATCGACTTCATCATGAGCACCGATTAATGCTCACCGAGTATATCAGAGCTTTGACTGATGAGTAGTATCTGACGGCAGCGTACGATCATCCCGACCTGTCAGATGAAAACTTGCATGAACGGATCGGCAGCAACTGGGCCTGAGGTCTCACGGTGTCCCAAACTGTTTTCCATTTCTCTCACTCATCTTCTTTGAGAATCATCATGGCGCCAAATATCTGTTTCAAATTCAGCAGACTCGGTTGTCATCGGAGGCCAGGCATGACTAATATTAGCTCCGAGTGGTTGAACACTTCTTTATGGAGACCAAAAGCAGGTAGTCAGAGATGCCGATTCACAAGTACAATTTGTCCATAGTCGAGTGTTTGATTTACTCACTCACTTGGTTCTTTCAATATAGCCACACGCATTATGCATTATTGGGTAAGATAGCAACTTATATAGAGAGGGACTTGGTACTTCTATCTATCTCGACTTTGTCGGCCATGCATTGCGTCCGTGGATTTCTTTCACTATAAAACAGCCGATTCTGAAACTGAAACTTAGAAAGTGGAATTTAGTGTCTGAGCCCGTCGAATAAAACTGTGGAGCCCATGTATCTATTTGAGCACTGCTCAACTTGAAGGACAGTGGAATCTCATGTTCAGATCTTTATTAGCAGAGAAACCGCAAGAAGCCTAGGTCTAGGTCTAGCGAGAGCATTCACTGGCTGATCACATGGCAACTACGTAACAGTCATCTCACAAATGTCTCTTGTTCTCATGCTTGCCCACCAAAACACCGATTGCAATTTGTGGAGTCATGAAAAATTTTACAGCGACTACCTATTGGAAGAAGATGGCACTTGCTCTCAGTGTTCGCCATATGTTTATCAAATCCACGACCTTGACCAATTTTCTTCAGATTGAACACACCGCTTGTGAATTGTTTGAAAGATCCATAGCAGGACCTTTATCCTCGATAGGCAAACGACCGCTGGATTATGAAACAGAATTGTCAAAGCTTGTGTCAAATTGTCAACAAACTAAATCCAATGGGCGCGTGAAAAGGAGATTTTGTCGTCGTTAGATTAGATGCCACAGAACACTCAAAGAGAGTAGTTGGCAAATCAATATTTAAGCCGTTCCAATAAATGTGTTGCACTGCACACCTTTCCAAGAGCAACGGTTTCTCTAACGTGCATTCCAGTCTAATAAGACATTTGTGGGATCTTAATATATCAATCTCATAGAGACGATGAGTGCGCATGCAGTGATGTATGCGCTTATGCTCCGCTTAGCTTCGGTTGGTGCCTTGGCAAGCCCTACAGGCAAATTGCCCCGGAACTCATTCTGCTTCTCACGATGAAAGTTAAATCGCTCTGAGTTTGACGAATATATGCATCTAGAGCCTTCGACTGACAAAACTTAAGTCCATTCCAGCATCTTCAGGAAATAAAGTTTCTAGGTACCTCTGCTGCTGTGCTCTTCTCTTTACTCCGTTGCGAAAGTTCAAGACTCTGCAATGAAATTTGTGTAACGTAGAAATCCAGAATTCCAAAATGCATATACCAGTTTTCATGCTTTCATTCAATTCTCTCCAACCTAGCTTCTGTTTGTCACCCTTTGAACAAACCAATTATCAATCCATTCTCCAGTTTAGATCCCACCAGAATATTTTTCGCGATTTGAATCTTGTCTACAAATCAGACTTCCAATCAGTTTTTTCTCGTTGGGTTTACAATAAATAAAATCTTCTATGAACATGTTATGATGTGTACAATATCATCTGTATCAGCCTGTGTGTATCACGATATATGCAAGAGCTAAACATGCAAGCTTTGCTTATAGGCTGAAATGAAGTATCTTTAGGTTCGCCTACTCATTTTATCTCAATATAACGCCAGCAGGTTCCAAGTCTCTTACTACTTACAGTGTTTGTAACGAGTAGAAAATGTCACTCGTTCCAGAATTCATGGTTTTGTGTTCTTTCTTTCCTTGCTTAAAGCCTCCATCTTCTCGCTATGGACTTATAACGAAAACAAATAGCAAATTTTGATACTATAATTTACTCCATTATGCAAAGGGTTAAGCTTGATTTACAATCATTTTTCTTACAGGTGTACAATGATCTATCTCATGTGTAAATTTGGAAGTGAAAGGATACTCAAATCACCTTGATGTTCAGGGGTTACCAATGGAAATAAGCACAATGAAATAAAGAGGACTAAAAGCAGAGAGTGGTTGTAGTAAGCTCATTCCAGAGGGTAATCGCCGAGAGGCATTCGAGCATGCTGTCCTTTGACTGCCAGGAGCGAGAGGTGATCGCTGCTCGGTCACCCGCCTCACGCTGTGCCCTCTGCATCATCTCCCCGGACCCTTCTCACTTCCGTGCAAGAGCCCAGATTGGAGACTCCACGCTTCAAATGGACGTGCCTTCCACATGATCCCGCCGGCCTGATGGAGCAGCTCCGTCTCCGCACTCTCTTACTCCCACTTGGGTTACAGACGGCCGCCACACCGTCCAGATGTTGAAGCCGCTGCCAATTCAGCTCATATAGCATCCTAACTGACCTTTGCTTCACTTATTGGCTCTCCTGATCTCACTGAGCTTGTGGCGCAGCGTCCCACAATGAAGAGACACTATTAGTCAATAATTGTATATTAATTTACTAGCCGGATGATGAGGATAAGGACTTTCAGAAGCAGTGGGAGGCTTCGATCCTCTGTGCAATTGATTTGTGAAGCCATGTATTCTTTCCTTTTTTTAGCTGGTGTTATGAGGGAGAGTCAAAATTGCATTCCTTGCCCAAGATTTTGACAGATGTCAATCCTGTTGCATGCTGCTCAGCATGGATACGGGGGTTTCTGGATTTCTATCGAAGAAAATAGAAGTGATGCACTTCTCCGTATAATTCGTCCATTTTGCCCGAGTGATGTTATAGTTTAATGTTTCGTGTAGCAAGCCTAGAGTTGCGGAGCCGGATGAATAAGACTGCAATGTACACAAGGCTCAATCTAGAAGGCTAGATGAGACCAGATTCTGCTTTAGAATTTGATAACAGTGAGAATACACGTGACAAGGTTGTCCAAAGCTAAGTAGATATTACTTGTCATCATGCGCTCGAACAAAAATGTGTGCAGCGGCCCAAGAAATAGATTTGTACGTGGAGTCTACCTTCAATACTCTACAGAGAATTCGATAGGCCTACTAGAACCAGATGAATAAGCAGCATAACATCTTGAGATCCCGGAGTAGCCATGTTTGACAGCTCTCCTAAGTCGACAAAAACCATTCACAATGAGCACAAGATAGTTTTTGACTTACAGGTATCAAACATGAAACAAAGAGAATCTTATAGGAACTCCTTTTTATCCTCCGTGTTTAACAGCACTTTTGAGTCGACAGACTCACGCAAAATGAGCACCAAAGAACTTTGATTAGCAGGTATCGAAGAAGACACAGAGATAATCTGATGAGAACAGCTTGAGTGCTTTACGTGACTAACGAGTATCATGAAACGTATGAATGTTGATTTTTCTATGGAAAGTAATCAGGGTAATTTACGACGAAGAACTGTGTACTTCGCACAAACCTCAAGCTACAAGGAAGCTTTTTGTGTCACAAAAGAAGCTTCTTCTGACGTCTCTTCAATCACTCTAATAGTTGTTCCTGAAGTTTTATTGTTTTATTTTAGTTGACAAGAAATTTATCTGTAAATAGCTCATCCTCTAGAATCTGGAGGGGGTTCTTCCCAGACTTTGTCTACAATATTTGAAAGGTCACACCGAAAGAGCTTTTGGTTGAATTTCAGACCATCGCATTAGTTGGATAACAATCCAAATGAATATAGGTATCAATGTGGTTAGAAACATGTGAACATTAATGTCCACAAGTTTCATTTTAGTGTAATCAACTGCATTAATAGCTCGTGCTATACAATAATATTCTCTACGAAAGTTTTTTCTCGGAAATTTCTGCTCAAAATTTGCTTCATACAGGAAATTTCTAAGCTAAGAAGCTTCTTTAGTTCCTTCAGCCATGCCTAAGAGCTCGGCTTCCTCTGTGGACAAAGAAGTCAATGACTTCTTCTTGGTTTCCGTTTGATAGCTCCTTGACCTCTAAAAATTTTGGAGATCTTTTTTTGTCAAGATCACTGGTCTAAGTTGAATCACTGTATCCTACATTAACTATATTTTGCAAATCATAACCTCACGAGAACAATATATAACAATTCTTTAGTAGCTTCGTTTTACACTTTCCTGATATGTACTGCCAAAGTACAAATTTACATTCTATTATTACTAGCACCATACCAATGATCTTATGTGTTTTAGATGACCTGTTTAGGTGGACATAGGGATCTCAAACGAAGCCTTCAAACGACCAAATTCTGGCATTTATCTCCTCTGCAATCCCCACGTCTATTACCATCATATCTTCGAGATGCATTCGCTGAATTACTGACTGATGCGACTACTGACTCACTCGACTGTGCTGTCGCCAGCTTCGTGAGCAAGGATGTCGGCGCATGAAATGACACCAGGCATGCTTTCGAATCAAATTGAGTTTCTCCACGTAACATTATTGATTAAATTGAGACGAGATGAGACGGCACGAGTCACGAAAAGAACTGAGCTTCATGAAGGTTATGAACATCGCTTGAAGGGGTTGAAATATTTGCCTGTTCTGTAATGATTATAGAGCTTACTGTACCGGAACTGAGTAGTTCCTGCACATCGCTCTCTAAGGAAGATGTGGTGTCCAGCTAGATACGTAGAACCTTATCGAACGAAGTCCTATATCAAACCAGTAGCACGCAGTATGAGCTCACACGAAGACATTCAACGTGGTAGACTAAGGACAGAAGATCGAGTTGCTGTTCCAGGCCTTAGTTGAGCATAGCTTACACAGATGTATGTTGCAACACGCACGTTGTGTGACAGACAGCTCAAGGCTGTGCACGCCAACATACACATCTTTGACCAGACCTAAGTTCTAAGATGAAAGTTGGTAAGGAATTTTCTCACCGAATTGTGGATCCAGCTTAGAAAGTGGTGAAATGTTTCTCTGCTACCGTAGAGTCGGTTCACCTCCACTTGTTGTGTGACACGAGTTCTTGCTCCCATCTTCTTGGAAGATGGAAAGGAATCACACAAACGGGCTATCTTGGCAGGAAACTCAGATTGGTCATACCACAGGGAAACACTCTCAACTCAATCAGTTTTGCAAGTTTTGATAATCACAAAAAACGTTGCAAATCATTTCCACAGAGCTGTAGGAGTTCGATGAAAGTTAGGCCTTTCGTCACCTGCTTGATGACCCAGACCCAAGGTTTTGTGGACTCATGTTCATATCTGAACCCAATGATTACGTCTGTAAAGCGAAAGGCTCATTTGGAGATTGTAATCACTCTACCTGTATTCAATAATGCACGATCAAAGCTTTGGTTTGTGGTTAAAATGATTCGAATGAATTATGAATTGGTCACGGCCCCGATCAACGAGATTCCAGAGTTCAAAAAGTAGCTCTGAAGTTCTCGAGGCTTGCAAAATGGACGCAATGTGACGTGAATGGACGTTAACTGGACAAAACGCCAAAAGCGATTTGAAGTTTGAAATGGACACCGGAAACTGGGTACGATGCTCTCGGGCTGACCTTTGTGTTTGAATGGGATCTCAGTGATGGTGTGATGGGAAACTGCTTGTCGATCCGACGTGTAAGTAGGTGACAGATTATCGATTCGGTCGTCAAATCGAGCGGTTGCAAGCCATTGCAAGCGTGCATGCAGTAGATCGAGTCTCCTTCCGTCCTTCTTCTGGTGTCAGATCTCGCCGGCTGGCTGAGAAGCACTTAGTGGAGATTAAGACTTGGGGATCTCACAACGAGTGGAAGAGGGAGTCTTCTCATTCTCGAGACTCGAAAGGCATCGACCGGGTTAATACAGTTCTCACATTCTTCTGTCAACGGGAAATTCTGTCAAAGAATGTGTGGAGAAGACAGAACTGGAGATTTGACTGCAAGTTTGATCGTCAGCTGTAACCGTGAATAAAACTTTTATTAGAGAGTTGTTGGCTTGCATCCATGGAGCGAGGAGAAGCGCTCCATGGATGCGCTTCTCTTCGAAGCTCGTCCACGCCCTGTGTGTGTCCATAGCCATGTCGGCAAGGCGAGTAAGTGAGTTGAGAGAATATCCTAGATTCTAGCTCTGGAGAAAGCTTTGGGTGCGATCTTCGTCTCCGGTTCGGACCGATTGGGGTTTCGACCCTCGTTTCACTCCCACCTTCATCATGGGTGCACGAATGTCTTGTTTTCAAGGGGAGAATGGCAAGGACTACCTCAGATTGGGCACCGTCGTCCCCAACGACGACCACGTGAGGAAGGCTGTACAATCACAAGCGTTCGTAATGTACGATTTGGAATCGACGAGATTGGTGGAAGATCACGCAGCAGTCAGAAGAGCCCTGTCGTACGTGCCGGGCTGGGTGGAACAAACTCCGCTCGACGGGTTTCTCGAGTACTGGTTCTTCATCAGCAACGACGACCAAAGGAAATACACTGTAGCCAAAGCTCGACTTCCATGGCCGGTCTTTCACGCCACATCTGCCGAGACGCTCCAAGCGTTCGTGCATGTGGTCAATCGGGTGGCGCATCGTAGAATCGTCACAACAATGTCAGTTGCATCATTCCTGACCTGCCTTAGATTCTAGATACTTCTTGATTTTTCCATCTAAGTGACTTGATCGGTCATGCTTGCTTCTGCCCTTCGGGCAAAATTTGACCATCGCTACCCACAACAAGCAAAATCCGCAGCTTTAATGAAACCGCAGGCCTCCATGACAATCACCGAACTGTTTTGTGCAGGACACCCGCAGAGATTCACGGCATCAGGCGAAAGAAGCAAAGATTATTCAGAAAATCGAAGAGGTGAGATGGAGTGGAGTGCCTTCCACCATCTTCGTAGGCTTCTGAATTCCAAGTCGAAATTCACGAAGTCGAGCAGCAAATTGAAATCGGAAAAAGCTACGGTCGTCCACATCAACGTGTGTAGTAATCAAGACGAGAGAATTCAGCTCATACTGCAAGTGGCTACTCGATCGAGATAACTTCACTGTATGAGCTACAGGAGCTGAGAAGCGTGGTCAGGAGCTAACCAGATGCAATCGTGTATAACCCACCAAAGGCTAAAACTGCAGTATGGTGGTAAAAAGATCGAACTCACAGGGACAGAGGCAACACGCAGAGTAAAAGTGTCACGTTTAACATACTTTTGTAGAGTTTGAATTCTAGGCGATTGTCACTCCCAGAAATACTGCAGTGCTCGACTCATAGGCTCGACTCGGAGGAGTATCTCGACTCGGAGGATGCTCGGAGGATGCACAGTACAGCGTAGTCACTCAACACACACACACACACCCGAAACTGGCAAAAGCACAACTCGGAGGTCGGTCAGGACCTCCGCTTCGGATTTCAGGAGGAAAGTGGCTCAAAAGTTCACTTAGAGGTTCTGCAGGTAGTGACTCCCACTCCGGCTTTTACTGCCCTTCCGCCAGGAACTAGCGTAGGGTACCCGGACTGGACTTCCCACTTCGGAACGAAGCCTCTTCATACGCCGTGGACGTCACCCTCGACTCACACCAAACGCAGGGAGTACAGGCCCGACTGAAAACTTGACTGAGACACAATCCAGTAACACACACACACACAACCTGAATTGCAAACCAAGGCTTACACGAAGTAATAAAACTTCACATTGGCATTCAGGGGAAACTTCCCGTAGGAGTACAATCAGGATATGTCACTCGAAGGAGTAAGGGGGAACTGTTCAAGTCTCTAACTCGCAGCCGGCTCTGAGCATCAGAAATCACCCGCAGGTGCAGATCCGCACTACTCAAGTCTCTAACCGGGTGCTAGCTCTGAACATTCAGCCGAAGGCCTTCAACTACAACATACGGTAACTTCGCTATGCTACAGCTTCTCTACGTGGTGCCAGGACCAAAATGCACAAACACGCCAAGAAAGTGAGTTCCTGATCTGCATTTCCGAAACTGGAAGAGTCCCAAGGCAAAACGCCTTGATCTACTTTATACCCTCAAAGGTCTTAACTAACACTACGCTATGCTATCTACTACTCGCAACACCTGCGCGAAACCAAACTATACTACTGCACTCGGCGGATCCGGTGCTGCGCCTCCTGCGCGCCGGACTGCTCCGCTCGCTGTCTCTACCTTGCCAGTCTTCCGACCGGCTGCGCAACCCCAGGCGTCGGAGGGCTGCAGTGACTTCCGACTCTAAGTGCGCCATAGTGTCGCGCACACCCGACAAGAAGGTTTCTAATTTCCTGGCTACTCGCCGCCGACTCCGACTGTCACCCTCCGTCAATGCCGCCGCCCGAAGCTCGAACTCCCTGAGTGTGATCCTCTCTTGAGCTGCCACCTCCCAATGGGCGTATACTTTTAGGCAATGAGTCACCCGCGTCGCCAACTCTTCTCGCGCCCTGCAGCTGCCTTCTACCTCCGCCGGCTGCATTTCTGCTTCCGCACGCTGCGCCCTCAAATCCGAGCACTCGGATTGCAAGTTGTGCAACAACTCCTCATCCTCCTTGCGGGCTCTTTGACTTTCTTCCAAGGCGCGCGTCTGGCGCGCAAGCTCTGCTGCTAGGATGCGGTTTTGTCTCCGCTCTTCCTGCAATTCTGACTCGATCTTTGCCCGTATTAGCTCGGCCTCCGCCTGGCTTTTCGTCGCCGCATCCTCCCTCTGCTGTTGCAAGGCTTGGTATAGCTTCTGTGTGACCGCCAGGTGTTGTCGGAGGGCGGTGTTACTTTCCACATATACTTGGCACCTAGAGGCCCAAGTGGCCACCTTGCTCCTCGTCCTTCGCTTGATAGTCTCCACATAAGACTGCGGTTTTCCAGTACCCGAGTACTTGGATGTCTTGCGATCCAGATATCGCAGGAGAGGGACTATCTGCTCGCACAACACCCCTGTTGGCGTTTTCTGCACAGAATCCGCTTCCTGCTCTTCCGAGCTCGTCTCATCCTCAGTTTCGAGGATTTCAGTCGCCACTGAATCCCTTGGCGACTCCCTGGAACTGTGGCGCGCGGCAGCTTCCGCTGCAACTGCCACACCACTGCCTGCTAAAATATCCAGGGCAGTGGGGGATCCCACTGCTTGAGCCCCTGTTGCGGCTCGATCTTCGGTTTCCGAAGGGGTCGACGCCGCAGTGACTTCTGTCACCCTTGCACCGCCAGCTTCTGCTGCCTGCCCTTCCGGCGCAATCTGCGCGGAAGGTGTCTTCGCTGAAGGTGCGTCCGCCGAAGGCGTCCGCACACTGGTCGCCGGCCCTGTCCGTCTCGCAGTCGGCGAATCCGGCCGACTCTCTGTTGACCGACTCGCAGTCGGCCGACTAGCAGTTGTCCGACTGGGAGTCGGATACACCCTGCGCGTCTTTACTCCACTTGGCCTGCTTGCTGGCGGCGTTTTCCCAGAAGTGCCTTCCGTCGAAGACGACTTTCTGAGGGTTGTTGGCTCGTCAGCCAAACTCTCTTCTGCTTCCGGCATGCTGTCCGGTTCAACGCGCCGCTCAGTTGGCCTTCCTTCCGCTTGTCGACCTTCAGTCGCCCGACTCGTAGTCGGCCGACTGTCGGTCCGTCCATCTCCTTCCGAAGGCATTGGTGCCTTCTGCGCAGAGGTATTTGTCGACTATCCTAGAATCTGCGCGATTATCTCCTCCTGCGTGGGATTCCGCCGGACCGGAGTACGCCCGGTCTCCTCAATACTAGTTGGCATTTTGCGTGCCCTCTGTTTTGGTGGACTGTGAGGCTCGTGGGTGGGCCGACCACGAGTCGGCGCAATTGGCACTTCCGGCTGCCTGTCCTCAGGTCTCTCATCCCACTTCCGCTTTCGCGGAATGCGCTCACTTCGACGTTCTTCTGCTGCTCTTGCTGGGGCCGGAGCCGGAGGCGGACTGACAGGTTCCTCGTCCGGATCCGTGTCTACTTCGGCCTCCCGTGAGTATCTACCTGGATAGATTCGTGTCAGCAGCGGAAACCGTGTCCGCTCTGAATTTGTCAAACATCCATCGCCCGATAAAACACAATCAAGTAAGGCGAAAGATGATTGAGGGTTCCTCCTTTCTCTTCTTGCGCATGTTGGCGCGTCACCTTCCACAGGAGCCGTGCCCAATGCACTGGAGCTCCTGACAACACTAGCTCCACAAATTCTACCTACCAACCATGCATGTAAGCGGTCTTGATCGGCTGCAATATCTGCAGCAATGCAGTCGCGACATTTCTCCACAATCGATCTTTGTAATCCCTTGTCCGGAAACCGTTCTTGGGATGCCTGGCAACTTTGAAGAGCTCATTGTAGGAGATTTCTTCCTCCTGGGACACCTTCACGCTATCGGCCTCGAAGAGGAGATCCCCTTCCTCGCCGGCACACCTGCCCAACACCTGCGCCCAGTTACAAATGTCCCATCTTTCTGGATGTGGACGGAATCCGCGTGAGGGCTTGTGTCTCTCCTGCAGATACTCGCGCACCATCTCCGGACATGTCCAGTTCCACCCCCACAGGAGGAAATCGAGCTTCAGCCCCAGCAGCACATCTTGAAATGCGCGTAGACCGATCTGCGGCACCCTGAGGGGAGACACTCGCAGCTGGGGAACCTTCGACATTGCGTTTCCTGCACACACAAACGTTCTCCCTTTCGCTCGCCCTCTCAAAATCGCCACTGCGCGTCTCTCCGCCCTCTCTCCTCTCACTGCAGGTCTCTCCGCCCTTGCGCGTAATCTTGGAAGCTGGAACTCGCAGAATCAAGAATGAGAGAATGAGACTGGAGAGCAGTCTTTTCTTCTCCGAATTCAAGAATGTCCAACGTTCTTACTGGTTACAACATACGCAGCCGGCTATACGGCCTAACGGTTCGCCCTTTGCATGCGCGAATTCACGTCTCCGCACTGCGCGCATTCGCATGCGTGAATGTTGAATTCTCCCGCCGCCGCCGTCTTCCGGACTCGAGTCCGCCGCAGGGTATACGTCGGCTATGTTGTCTTTCCCTAACCCGTCCATCACCGGAGGCGTGTCGCCGCTGGCGTGTTCCTTATCCATCAGCGCCTTGCTGGAGGCGCACATCCTGTCGGCGCGAATTACGCCGGCGCGTATTCGTACCGCTTATTTTGTCCTTTATGCCTCGTCCATTGCTGACGGCGCATATCCGCCAGCGCAAATCATGCCAGCGCATCCGGCCATCAGCGCCACGTCGGAGGCGTACATCCGACCGGCGCTTTCCTTCAATGAGCAGCCGCCAAAGGCGCTTCCGACTCTGAGTTGGTTTCCTCCCATGAGCGCGCGATTCCGCCGAAGGCGCATCGCCGAGGGCGTACGGGAGTCCTTTCCGGCTGTGAACCCTAGCGCGAACGGCGCATGTCCGGCTACGAGTTTTCTGACGCTCATAACTTCTCCGTCCCTGATCCATCTCCAACGCTCTTGGGCTCGTTAGAACGAGCGTCCCAAGCTCTTTCTAATGCGACTTTAACCAACTGGATCTACTGTGTATTCCGATCGTTATGAAGGTTTTCCCTTTCCGCGCTAGCGGCGCATCGCCGAAGGCGCACTCATGGTCGGACGCCTTCAGAGGTCCGGGCCCTTCTTCTGACGTCTTTAGCAAAACCTCCTCCTGAGGTGTCTGCGCCGGAAGCGTAGCTTCCTTATACGCTGGAAGCGCGTGAGTAGAGACACCTCAGAAAAGGAGCTTTTGCCGAAGGCGCCGAAGACATTGGCGTTGGTACATCCGACTACGCGATTCTTCGTGACCTCGTAACGATCTCATCAATCCACTCTATTTAACGTACCCTTTTCTAACTACAAACACTGCTTCGGTACTAGTTTTCTAAAATTGTTTAAATTCTGCAAAAAAAACAAAAAGTGTGTTACCACAAATCGGCAGAACTGCCCCAGTAGCAAAACCGGTGTGTGGAATGCAGGTGGAATGCTAGTGTTGAGAGATGAGAGAAAAAGCCTCTTGGCTAAAAGTAAAATCTTTTTTGAACTTAGCAGGAAGGATAAAAACAAATGACTTTGAGTGACTAATAGTAATTCCTTCTCTCTTGAAAGTTATCCATCTCCTATATTAGGTGGCAAAAGCGGTGGGTGGAATGTCAGTTTTTAGAGGTGACATAAAAAGCCTATGGCCCTAGAGTAATAGCTTGTTTGAAGTTAGGAGGAAGTACAGAAAAAGTCACTTTGAGTGACTAGGAGTAATTATTTCTGTGGAATCTCATCTATCTTTTATATTAGGTAGCAAATGCGGTATGTGCACTGCAGGTGGAATGCTAGTGTTGCAAAGTGACAAAAAAAGACTATGGGTTAATTACTCTTAGCCACTCAAAGTAACATTTTTCTTCCTTTCCTCTTGAGTTCAAACAAGGAAATACTCCTAGTCCATAGACTTTTTCTGTCACTTTGCAAAACTCGCATTCCACTTGCATTCCACACATTGCTTTTGCTACTTGAGATGGGAGATTGATAACTTTCTAGAGAAAAAATTACTCTTAGCCACTTAAAGTTACTCTTTTTGTCCTTTCTCCTGAGTTCAAACAAGCGATTACTCTTAGTCCATAGTCTTTTTTTTTCAC